AGCACTTGAGCGAGGGTGGGAAAATACGTCATCTACCTTTTCGCATAAAACAAAAAAATATCACGAAGAAAATAAAATTGAGCAACGACCATGTATTAGGCGAGTAACATACAGTCATACACTATCAACAATGAGTGCATTATAAGTTTTAAAAGTATTAAAATACACACTAAGTAGCCTTGTGTACTCGATACAGTACCAGTAACGATGTAGATTGGATTATTCTGCGATGATTGATGAAACCTGAGTCGTCTATCGCAAGATGTCGCTCTTGCATCGTAAGATGGTGAAATTGTTTCTTTTCCGTCAGATATGTTGTGAAAATATGGGTTGATAGTGCAACCTATTAAAATAAATTGAATTGTGGATAAATATTGTAATATCACAATTAGTTCATGATTACCAAAAATGTAAATGAACACCGTCATCGTTGCATCTTATACACATATTAAGAATTTATTCATAGAAATTAATTGAAATGTGAAGATTAAGTAAAACCTTGAATAAAAAATAATATAATATATTATATAAATATATATATTTTAATAAAAATATATCACAATTACGTGCATGGAACGCCAAGGTGCACATGTATTAGTGAGTTCAAATAATGACCCAAACAACATTTTTGATGTATATAGTTGTTAATTAAACATAACATTCAATGTTTTTTTTAAGCTCCGAAATTTTTATAATTTCAAATTCAATGTTGACTGCACACATTCGGTGTTTTGATTGAGAAATTCTCTAAATTGAGATAAAATCAAATATATATCGAGTAGTTTGTTTTTGAGTGATATTTTTGTAAGTATCCAGTTAGTTTAGGTGTAGTCCCCTGTAGAGACATATTGCGTTGACATATAAGATTGTTTAAGAAACAAGCAAAAATAAATAAGATGATAATATCAAATATAATATATTGTGATATGATATTTCCAAAAGCTGAAATCACAAAACATTCTGGATTGTTTTGCCATATTAAATGATATATAAATTGATAAATTTGTTTACAAAATTGCAAAATAAAGATTCTAAAACCATTGCTAACGACAGCATAAAGTGATAACTAGGCACAGAATGTTAATCAGGTTAAGACAACAAGGCCTTTTGGATGGATTATGCTATTCCACTGGGTGGGCTGTATAGGGTTAAACTTGGGCTGAATATAGATCGATTCTATTATATATATATCCTACGAGTTAGGTCAACAATCCAAAAGCAGCTTTCTCCCTTACGTAATATTCAATTTGAATCGAAGGGGTGACCGTACATTTGAACCCACGTACATTTGAACCCATGTGTATATTCGCGGGTTCAATCTATATGCGGGTACAAAACCCATGGGTTAGGGTTGGTATGGGTTCAAATATCCGTAAAACAACAAAAATTTCCAGAGGTGCAATAGTATGCCGGTGCAATCGTCGTGGGTTCAAATGTACGTGGGTTCAAATGTAATGGAACCGAATCGAAGGATGTATTTACAAGTACACATGATATTTGTGCAATATAACTTCTGTTTACACAAATATCTTGTTAAAAATAAATATTATGGAATTAGGTAATAATTTATGTCCGTGTATGGGTTAGAATTTGTCTAAATTGAACTAGTTAGTCAAAACGTTAATCGAATGAAAGAAAAACAATATATTAAATTATTTGAGATTCATGAAATCACATCTGTTCAATTTTGCACAGATAGACTTAACATATTTTATTCATTTTATATTTTTTTCTTATCTTTGAAAATTTATACATTCAATATTCATCTGTTTTGAATGTTTATATCAAAGAAAAAGCCTTTTCAGTTTGTATTCAGGGGATAATGCACACGATAATAGAATATTATAAGTTCTGCTCTACTTTGGATAGGAAGGTTCAATATATAGTTAATTTATTACTCAAAACCTAAATTTTGATTAAACTAATGATATTAAATAGCAAGCTAATCAAAGTATGCGGAAAAAAATATTAAAAATGGTGTACGCTTTGATAGGATATTAAAAATATATAGCTTTTATTGTTTTGTTTAGATTAGAGCATGGGTGGCAACCTTTAGTATTGAAAGGGCCAGTCAACATTCCTTCCATCAACCTCAAACCGACTCGGGTCCGTAACTCCAAAATGTTATTGGCTATTAAAACTCCCGGGAAACCACCTTTGACGCAATAAATTAGTGTTTTCTAAGAAAGCCAAATGAAACATCAATGATGCAATAATTCAGTCTATGACGAAATGAAAAGACTCGTAAAATGAAAAGCAACTCAAACTTTTGGGAATGCTGTGATGTGTATTTAGTAGAGTATTGGGCTCTATGCCTCCGCCTTTTATTAAGTCCCACTGCGTCCAACAAAAACGGCTGTAACCACATTACTTTACGGGGAGCCAGATCTTCAAGCACAAAAAGCTGCATGGGGCTCCAGAGCCGCAGGTTGCCCGTCGCTTGATCAGAGCAACATTAATCCCTGCTAGAAGCCAAAATATCAGGTATGAAAATCCATTCACCGTGGGTTTTATTACTAGATTGGTACGAAGTACATTGATTTTGTATGTGTGATAATTCAAATGTGACGTTTATCATCTATTACTAACTCAAATCGGAGGAAGTTATGACTGGGTAATGATCCCCCTGGTTAGATTAAGAAATTTTCAAAGAAATTTTCGTGCTATATATAGTCCAACAGATCCATTCTGTAATATTTAAAATTCACTTCGAATGATTCACTGCATTCATAGACAGAAAAATCCCCAACTTGGACAAATACCAGATTCAACTAATTTGAACATACTTAGCTATTGACTTTTATATATGTTTGAGATTACGCAAGAACGTGTTCTTGAATATAAAACATATAAACATGAAATGAGTTGAATAATTTTCCTAAACTTAAACAATCCGGAAAAATTGAGAGATAGTTCTAACTATATTCGTATACGCAAGCATACAAATTTAATAAAATGACTTTTTACCTGCAATTTGCCATTTGCATTCCTGTTTGCGAGTAAATATTATACTATAAACATTTCTATATTATATTCCGAAATAATATCAAAACCTTTCAGATTTCGAAGAATGCTAGCAAGTTTTATGTAGACAGGCTATTTTGGATAGTTATTCTAAAAAAAAATTATCATGATATATATTGCCAATTTGTTATTGGATAAGATCTTGACAAAAATTTTGACTAACCAATTCATAAATGGATATAAAACTTTCAAAAATAATGTTGCTTTTTCATCAACTTATTGTCAGACAGTTAACTTACATCAACAATAAGTATAAACGTAACTTTATCTCATAATCATTCCAGAAGCAATAGACAACGTATCACGTGTCAAAAATAACATATCAATTATGATATTCGTGTCTCATCATAAATCAATCGTATCATATTAAACACAATATCATATCGCTCTTGTATTGTTGCTTTTGTGCTTGACCAATAATTTTTATGACCTGTTTTCTTACGTCATTGTGATTTTTGACCTCTCATGTCATATCGACTTCCGGGAAGTGTGTAACAATTCGCTGTTGACCTTGCGCATGCAATTCTCAGAATAAAGATGTGTTATTTTCAAAAGATCAAAACTTCATCTTCGAAACTGAAAAGTCGAAAATATCCCATCAAACTGTTGAATCACTTTAATATATAATGAAAAACAAGAGTTATTTGTTTCCTTGCATATAACTGCGAAAGTGTATAGCATATGTAGTATTATATATGACTCAGCATAATGTGAAAGTCCATATGAATTGATATCATGCTCACAATAACCAAATCGTTGAATTATATTATATTAGATAATACCATCAGTATATTACGCAATAAATTTGTTATTGTAGGGTGAGCCAAAAACAGAATCCATAAATATTTTCATTTCTTCTACAAAAATGACGAAAATTATTAAACATTTGAATTCTTGAACTTTTGTTTGCTTATGATTCTACCCAAAAGTTTCAGCAAACTAGGACGTTTGGCACAAAAGTTGTGTTTTCTCTAGATTCTAGAATATGTCCCAAATGATTTGGGTTCTCCTTTTTCGTCACCCTGTATTACTTTATAGTCTCTATAATGGAAAAATAACAAAAAAACGTTAGTTTATGAACACGAATGCAGACTATGTGAACGTTACATACATGGCTGAATAATTGCTTGCAGTTCTACTCTAAAGTGGAATTAGTCGTTGAAATAATTCACCAAGGCATAATCCTAATAAAAACGTAATAAAAATGAATTTATATTTCTAGTTATATATTATAATAACAGAATATTCAGAATAAGCAAGCATCTGTTGTCAATGCGTCTATCGTTTAAATGACGTGATGTTTATATTTTAGGCAATGCAGATTAAAATACAAATTCAAATTGTCCACATTATTCAATTTGTTTTATTGACATTGTAAAAGTTAAAATAATGTACATAAGCAAAACAACATAAACATATTTTAATATAAATAACTCAAGTATAATTATTTATTTGACTATATGGAAGGCATAATAATCAAATTAGGAATTGCAGTCAAATTAAAAATATGAGAGCACGAAAGTGTTCAGTATCCTATGGATTGACCGCGTGTTGCACTTTAAACAGATTCGTGACGCAGAACATTCATGCCGAAGAATACAGGAAATGAAAAGATGAATTCAAGTTGTTGCGATCGTGCAATGTCGCATATGTAATTTCCATCCGTTATGGAAACTATGCAAGTAAGAAATACTCATGGCTCATTGCACGATCACGCATGATAGATGATGTTTACTATTACGTCATTCAGCTCTGATTGAAATAGCTCTGATCCATTTTGACTATTTTTTCAATTCCTGGGAGAAAGTAAAGATTTAATTTGAATGATTTCAAATACTCCATTGACTCACATATAGGGGAATATTTAAAAGTAACTGGCAACTGAAAATATACCATTATTAAAAATAGTAACGATTTGTAATCAGTTATGAGTCGATATGTGTCACCAAGTTGTATATAAGCAAGCATTGGAAGATGTTTACCATCAAAATCGTCGATAACATCCGATACAAAGTGGAAGAGATCAAGAATTGATAGAATACAACAAAATTTTTGAAATACTACGGAAGAAACTTCGAAACAAATATGAACAACTTGATTTTCATTGCAATCGTCTGCTTATTCGCTATGCTGTTTGTGCATAACAGTAACGGAGGTAAATATTCATTTTGTATTATTAATAATGATTACCAATTTCTATCAAAATTGGTTCAAAAATAATAGCTCATTCCACTTTTGCAATTTGATAATTGTTTTTGGTATTTATTTAATGTATTGTCTATTTTTTAAAGCTTCTGTGTCAAAGCCAGGAAATGAAGAGGGAACAACCACATCTATGAAAGTTAAAACGGTTGCAAAATACGGATTCGATGTTCTCAAAATCTGCAAAGTATTTTGCAAATGGAATCCTAAGACACAAAAATACAAAGGAAACTGTGACAAGACCAAATTTACAAGTAAGTAGATTTTTAAAGAATCGGTTTTTAAATGAAAACAACAAACCAAATTTTCCATTTATTTATTTTATTAAAAATATTTTGGATATAATTTCTAATGTAATTTAAATTACTCGTTAATTGAAGCATCATGAAAATTCTGGTATAACCTCAATTATCGTTTTTTCTTTAGTTCATATAAATAGATTCATGAATTTAGATTTTTCCTTTTTACTTTTTAAATATTATTACTAACTTTTTTCAGGGGCATGCAATATATGTAGAGATGATATCGGATGCGACAAGATCAATAGTGGTGGATTATTTGGCTAGGGTTACAAATAGCGACTGCCAGAACAGCGACTGTTAATAGGGCGACCACACGACAGCGATTAATTTAAAACAGGACTATCAATACAGAGACTGCAAGACAGCGAATCATTTGAAACAGCGACTGCAACAACAGCGACATCACTGCCTTTATTAAATCCAAGGCTTATGCGAACACATACACATTCCATCCCCCACACCCTAACTTTGTTTTGTCATTCCTGTACAAAAAGCCTTCATGGCATATCATGTCACTTCCTTTTCTTAAAGTTATGAAATCCATTGGGCCAAATTTTTCAAACGACCTTAAAATGAATGTGACACGACATAGCGTTACCTTTCAACGACCGACCAGGAAATTCGACTCAGTGAATTCAACTCAGTGAACACGAGTTAAGTCGCTGTTTCAATACGTTCGACATTATGACAGTCGCTGTTTTGACAGTCCGGCCTGGATACCGGAATATTCTAATTCTATTTTTTTACCTGCTTTTACTTCAAAGTTCAATCATACATTAAAATGCGATACATTTAACAGACTTTTCAAAGAAATTCTTCATAACTTTTATAAACGCGGGGTTATTTGAAAACCTATCTTATATTTTTATTAATGCTATTTATTGTTCATATTTAGCTATTTTATTACAAGAAGTTCAATTCTATTTCATTTTCGAACATTTAAAATGCACATATTAGCTATAGCAGACTTTTTTTTTAAATATGTCAGTGTTTTATTTTTATTTTTCTCTTCAATGCAAGTGTTTAATGTTTAATGTTTAATTTAATAAGTATTATTTATTTATCCTTAATTTATGTCCTTATGTGATAATAAACTACTATAATTATATCCTATTCAGCCATTTATTTGATTTCTAATAACAGCACAAGTCTGATCAAAGGTGAATTTTTTGACGGAACTGCTGGGGGTGGTTTGCTGTTATTTTACCTACAGTTAAGACAGAACTTCTTAGTGTTCGATTTAAGCTTCCAACCGCTGAATGCAGAAATCATGTTTATGATAAGATCATATGTGATGAAATCATCCTAAATACAATACTGCGCTTCATGAGACCTGGCTAGTTACGTAATCAAATATGTAAAACATGCGATAATTAGGACAAATGGCTAAACAGCATTTCCTACCGACAGCTTTGACCCTAATTCATGAGTAAAACCCGCAAGTGGGTAATATTCTTATCCGGAAGAAGGTGCTCAATTTCAATCTTTGCAAAGTGAAGCGTTTAACATGGTAAACGTTCATAGCAATATTCAATACTCGTTACAATGTTTTAATACTGTAAATTGGTTCCCTTTACGCTCGATAGAATTGAATATATAGCTTGTCATATTTAATATTCTTCCCAAAATACGACTAGAAAAAATCCAAAACACTGGTGCACATGAAAAAGTGTTAAATACGAAGTGAATTCGAGTGAATATTTTGGGTAAAAACATATAACATCATTCAATTTCATCGTTTAACCCAAGTAAATTTTCTTTATTATGCATAATTCAAAACTCTCTATTGTCTATTTACTGGCGGCCCTTCAAAACAACTGTTTATGATGAATGTTGTTTACCGAGTGATGCGTTGATAAAATCAACTTGGGCCTCAGTATTGGACGAGAAATATTCGTAAACACGGGGTTAAAGGAGTATAAGTTGTTGAAAGAGATTAGAAAGTAGCCATTTTTAGAGTATTCGTTACAACGGATTACAGCGCGAATCGCAGAGCAGAATGATGGACTAATGTCTATTCTTTTAAACTTCTTCGATTGAAAATTTACTTTGATCAAATGTCAATTCAGTAGTTTCAAAGTTTCAAAAAATGTATATGTCCAACTCAACAGGCACTTGACAGACAGTTTGTTTCTAATTATTTTATGAGTAAAAAGTAAATAGATTGAGTATTTTCATTCTACTTTAGGTACAAGAGAAATAAACTACGTCAGTTATTCTTATCAATCGATTATCAAAACAATTTTAGGTTTTCAAACTTACTAATTCAATATCTAGTTCGAGACACAAATCTCGACGTCGGAATGGAAATCTTTTTATTTTCAAGCGACATTTTACCTGTAATTAGTGCGATTTTATAAGCTGTTATTTTATAACAAAAGGAAATTAGTTTCATCATCTGCTGGGTTGAAAGACTCAAAGCCAAAATACCTCGACATAGTATAATACCAAAACTTTGATTGTTATGTCGCATTGGTATATTTACATTGAATTAAGAAAACTGTAATACAATTCCAAGTTAGAGGCATTGTTTATTCAAAAAATATTGATAAATATATGTAAAACAACTAATATTTAACAGAAAATATTAGAACTGGACAGAAAAAGTTAGAAGATGATTGACGGTGGGGCATTTTGTACACTCACACATCTTATTTTACTCTTTTATCTCCTGACTCACAAGTTGTACAGAAAAATGATTAAAAATAGAATTTTAGTCTGCTAATACTCGAACAAATTGCTACCATTTTTAATTCGAAAATCGAAAATTTTCGTGACGAAATTCACTACAAAGCTTTTTATTCCGCTTCTTTTTTGTATAAACAAAACAACAATCGTTAAATTTAAATAATATTTCACTTAGTCACATTTAAAAAGGTCCAGTTTTACCAAATAAATTGCATTATAACAAGAGAAAAGGTGATGTAAGTTTAACTTATATTTCAAAGAAAAAGCGCCATGTCTGCATTTGGTAGATAACAGCAACCGATGTTGTAATCTTCAAAATATATTCACACATAAAAAATAATGACGTACGACGCAACTGCATTGAAAGAATACAGACCTCATATAAATGCAAATTGCTGAAAGTTGTTGACATCATTTCTAAAATTCTCGTATTCAATTGGTGCATGTCTGGAAAGGACATCTGGGTTCAATTACGTGACTACCAGACATGTGATGCCATTGAAATACTGTAAATATATTTCGTTTTTTAAATATTGCTTCACCGTACAAGAGTCCAAACATTTTAGGGTAGTGCGAAGACTTTTGTTTAAGCTCCGCTCGCTAAAATGTATTTAAAACACGGAAGACACGTCATCAATTTCTCCTTTACTTTTGTCGATTGAATCCCATACAAAGCGAGAGATAGCAAGAAACGAGAGAAGCCAACGCGCGGATTCTAGTATTTGTTCACGTCATTTCGTCAGTCACTTTAACAAAATCCATCCGGCCTGAAAAGTACCGATTAGAACGGAACGGAGTATAAAAAGAGATACACCTCCTTGAAACACATTATTTATAAGAAGTCTCGTAAATTGAAATAAAGCGGAAAATCTGCTAAGTTTATGTTAAATATTTGTTTCTATTGAAGCCTGCAGGATATAATTTAATTTGAAATGGGAAAATTCGTTGTTGTTCTCGCCGCTTTCGTGGCTATGGTTTTAATAATTGAAAATGTGAATGCAGGTAAGATATAATACCAAAGCATTATTTTACTGACTGGTATCCATTTAGGTAAATGTTGGTCAAAATATTTATTATCACTGCAATTGATAAAAAAAGGTAAAATAATGTTTGAGCATTTTTAATATCGTTTTAAATATTTAATCTCAGTATTATTCTGAAATGAAACCTATTTTTTATATGCAGAATGTTGGATATTCTATGATTCTGCTATTAAGCTGAAGAAGTTTTGGATGTTATTACTCAATCTAGAAATCAGCAAAATTATGTTTTATAGAATTATATTATATATAATACACATTTTATTTTGACCCTTAACTAAATTCAGATAAATTCATAAGGAATTGCAAAAACAGTTATTTTCAAAATATAAATTTTTGCTTATAATCAATTTCAATTATGTTTAACAAATCATTCATATTTTTTGTTATAATTTAGTGTCCATATCAAGAGAAAGACGCTCAGCTAGACGAATTGTATCTCGCACGACAACGATGACCGTTCGATGCCAACGATTTTGTACGTACAGTCAAATCACTGGAAAACTCAACCGAATCTGCATAGTAAAGCGAACAAAAGGTATAGTCTTGCGTTTGTAATCTAAGCTGAATTTATTGCAAAATCATAAATACAAAACGGAAAATCTGGTGTTTGCCGATGATCCTATATTTGAAAGACAAAAAAGTTTAAAAGAGTTGCAGAGTTGAATTACTTTTACCCATGTTTTCCATTTAGAACGCTATAATCGGTGAAAAACTTTTCCGACAAAACCATGTGAATTTGATAAATATTATATTTAATAGTTTCCGCTTTTGGATCAGTACGGTAAAAGCATACTATAACATACGGTTATATCATTTTTCAAATACAATATTTTTGCTATGCCTACGTTTACATAGCTTATATATCTTTTTATTAACCAAATAATAAACACGTATTTTTACATTACAGCACTCTGTAAAGCATGTCGGCGTTATGCATGTCCGTATATGTCCAGTTCAATTGTTGGATGAAGAAGAGCTGAAGATGAGAACGTTTGTTAAGAACGACACAAACGAACATAGTTTAGTTCGATAACAGAATATTGCTGCTCAAATCAATGCTAAGATGTTTCGATATTTTTACCCTTTTAAATACATAGTTGCAGGGAATAATATATATTTTCGTAAAAAGTTGTTTTTGTATGCATATCGATGATTTGAGTTGCTATACACATCGGTATCTACAGTTGAAGTTCTTTGAAACGAAGGGAAAATAATTTGTTACGTCATTGACAGCCATGAGACGTCCAAGGGTCAAGTTAAATTGGAATGATTTTCTAAACTTCTCATTTTCCATCCTACCTATTTGTGCTTTTATATTTTTATTTTGTACTTTATTGTGATGAAAGTTCCAATGATACATGTTTACCTTGTTTCTTCATTATCTATTTTTTTTAAATTTTCTACGTTTTCAAATCTTTTTCGTTTAATAAATCTCGTTGATTTATAAATGTACAATTTTAAATGCACGATTAACAAAAGAATGGTAGTTCCACTCAGTACTTAGACATGATATAGCGTTTTGTATTACAATAGGATCATTATGCGGGCTAACACAATGAAAGGTCAGATAAGTAGCCTACTTTCAGTTAGATTCGCTTCATGTGGTCTTCACAAAGTATGCGATTCGTAATCTCATGGCGAGAAGGAATGCGGAAATTATATAGTCAACAATGTGGATGCGGCACTACTTGCTAATAAACCGAATTTGGTTTATTTTGTACTTTTTCGTTTGCCGTAGTATAAGCCACTTGCCTGCTTAACTTAATTTAAATCACAAACAAAACACTTTTGTCACTTATCCGATCCCGTGCATGAACAGCATAAACGTCGCATGTTTGATAAAACTTTAACCACGAGTAACAACTAAATCTCGACGAGCAATATCAAATTTCTGACGACGGACATCTGAAAATAACAAAATGGTTCTACCGTTCGTATTATCTATTGTGAAAGAATATATTCGAGAGAATAAGAAACTGATAATTGGGTTAACCTTATCTTATTCGAAATTCTTAAAATGCATGAATAGGTTCAGTAATTCAAGAAAAAAGATGAGTCATCTAGTTGATACTTGCTGGAACACTTTTTAGAAGCAGGCCTATTCAACGCAAAAACTAGAAGCCAAATTCGTAAAGTTTTTATTCGCACACCTAAACATACTTAAATTTTTAAACGACTTATTAAATTTAATAGCATAGGCCATAGAGTAATATCATTTGTCATCAAGTTATAATGTTTACCAAAAGTGGTGACGTATATATCTTAAAGATATTACTGAATTTACTGAGTTTACTGAATTTAAACTCATGATATGGTCCGGTACATAGGTTCGTACTTTAAAATTGTTCCTCAAGTCACAAATCATAAAATTGAAGAAGTTTGGTATTAGTCCCTATGTACAACATTTAAGACGTAATTGATTTTGGAAGTCATTTATTTACATTGTGTCTTTCTTTGGCATTACATTACTTTTTGTATGACTGTAACTTTCAATAGCTATAAGTAATATATTTGCAAACAACGTGAACTAAACAATACATCAACCATAGTGGCCAGTTAATGAATGTTTACTTCCGTACAGATCATTGAAATAAAGGATTTAAAATGAAGAAAACTCTGATTTTTACCTAATTTCTGATTTTGTTATTTTCCTTTTATGCCAAATATACTTCTCGTGTCTTTTTCTAGTGAATACCATGTTATTTTGTTTAGAGAATGTTTGAAATGATTGTTCACCGTCGAAGTGGGTAGACAAACAAGCAATAAACAAACAGTAATTGAGTCATGAGTACCCCACTTGACATCGTTAATAAGGGATAGTATTCACGGCGTACTTCCTTGGTAGTTTACGTGCAGGTTCATTTTAGGAAAAAGTCGTCTCAAAAACCAAAACGAACATAATTAATTAACCGCTGGTAAATGAATCGCTGTCGTGTAGTCGCTCTATTGACAGTCGCTATTTGGAACCCGAGCCCTTTTAACAACAGTTAACAAAGTTAATTTATGTGCTGCTGGCTGCATTGATATATGACTTACATCCACGACCGAATTATGTGTGAGGTTATGAATTAACTAACCATGTAGTTACATATATATTTAAACTCTAGTTTTACACGTTTCTATGCTGAAATTTACCAGGCAACGAAAAATAGAAACTTGAGGAGGTATCTGGAAGTATGACATATTTGAAAGCAAATTTGGTTTTCGAACAGTAAATAAACGATAACAAGAATTCGGAAGTATTCTCCTAAAATATCTTCACGATAATGAGATGAAAATCCCCGTCTTCAAAATCTGACGGAATGTACTTTTGATAGTGTTTGATGAATAAATATGTAAATACATTACAACATAGTAAACAGACAACATTGGGATCATGCATGAAACGGTGACTGAGATATCGTAATTCAATAGGTTGTTTAAATTTTATAAGTACTGCGTTTTAAAAGTAACTCGAACCTATGGAGTATATTTCTTCAATCACTGATTGTCCCTAGAAATAGCTTTGGAAATGAGTCACCAGTAGCCTATCGGGTTATATTAACTTTATTCCCAGAATAGTAGGACATGATTTTGTCTAGTTTATTACTCGGAAGTTTCATTTAATTAAACCGTCTAATCCAAGATAAACCGAAAAATATACCTGTCGAATTAAATCATGTTAAGATAAAACACAATGGGATTAAAATATCTTCTTCAAACATGTCCTCTTTTTAAACCTGCTCATTATATTGTCAGAAAGTGAAGCATAAAATGTGGGAAAACAAGAAATGTTTTGCTAAATCACAGTTTTGTTAAATCCTTTTGACATCGCCGGTTTCGAAGTATTACAAGTAATCCTAAATACTCATTGCCAAACGTATCATTCTGCACCTATCGAAAGTAATTTCAAATCATAAAGCGGAGGCTAGTTTCCTATCCTAAGTAATGTTTAGTTAATACAAGTGTAAAAAAAACTCTTATGAAGTTGGTATCTCTTTACGTGTATTATCAATCTAGAGCAGACTGATGCCCAGTAGAAAATATATGGCATGTAATAATATTGTGTTGATTCGACCAATTCCCATTTAAAACTGAGTTGTTTACTTCAATACGTTTCTTCAAATCATTCCCTACATTCCCTGTCCAAATATAACATAATATTTACCCATATTTACGATGAATTAAATCCAACTTTAAACATGGGATTGAAATCACTTAAAATTGATATAGTGATCCAATGGATCATACATACGCCTAACATGCGCCAGGGTGACCTGTGCAAAAAGTCCCGGAACTTGAGTTTTGCTTAATTAGCGTGAAGTTATGCTTTGTTAATATTCAGAAGTGGTCGATGGGAAATCTCACAATAATTCGATGAAGTAAGTGAGGATGGTAAAATACAAAACCAGTAGATGTTTGATGAAGTTCCATTTTAGCATATTAGAACGTAAAAGGATAATGCGATTGGATGGTTTCATTTCAAAGTCGGTGGCATTTCAAATTTAAAAAATTCTCTCAAAACCAGATTTTGAAAATTCACGTAAGGAAAAATACAAATTGATTCAAAGTATTAATAGTATCGTTTAAATATGAATTTGAAATTAAAATAAATGTTACAGTTGACTTATATATACATATATATTTATAATACACTATTACATTTCGGGAAAATGCCCTACAACATTTTAAAGTCCAATGAAAGAAGGCACTATATTTTAAGTAGATTTATATTGTTTCCTTATTTCAACAATGTTGAAACTCGTGCGCAAAAACAGTTCACCAACGTTTCAAGCATGGATATATTGTTTTTTCATTGTTAACGTTATTTACGGACAGCTTTGGCCATGATTAAATTATTTTCAACATTTATTCAATTTCTATATTACCGAATTTCTGCTTAATATTACATCTGAAATGCTCTCTACCTGTCCCGGCTACTCACAAAATAGTAGAATTATCGCAAAGCCACAAGTAGAATTATGCACTCATTGAACTCATTTTATTTCTAGAACACGTAAGTTTATGGACACAACTATATTCTGTATTTGTTCTGATATTGAGAGGATGAAGAATTGAGTAAATTTATTCAGTGCGGATATATTTGAACTTACCCGCGCGAACTATACACTGGAAAAACTTTTTGAAGATAAATGGAAAAAACATGTAGCTTTCGTTCTGGGATATTTTTGTCAAAAGTGGACTTTTTCTTTGAACGAATGATGACTTGCAAGAGTCATGAACTTTTATCGGAAGTAACAACAACTTTGCAGTATGTCAATTCACTTTTTCTGCACAACTACAGTAAGATTTCTTAATGAGTTCGATGTTTTAAATGGTTATGAAGTTATATATATACCGCATTTGTGTTGTTAGCAAAGACTGGAACGCACGGTATTGCCACAGTGCGCAGTATTATATTTGCATTAATTGAATTTTCAAAATGCATTTGGCACAGTTATTTTTCGTGTTTGCAACATGTATGCCCATAATCAACGTCTTGGGTTCAGGTGAGTAACAACATTTCGATCATCAGTTTCAATCTTGAAAAAAAATAAAATAAAAAAATAAAAAGTAAATAATCTATTAATATCAGAAATATTTAGATAGATACACAACGGTAAGATTGTAATGTAAAATTGCACAGCAGTGAAGAGAAGGTTATATATATGTCCAATTGATTTTTAGGTGAATTTGAAATTGACGTAACAGGAGTGTACAATGACAACATTGACATGTTGAATATAACATTCAAAGAAACTTTGAAATCACCACCAGCTGACAATATGCTTACAGCACTGACGGGCAGGACAATGCAAGTGTGCAGTTATTATTGCCGATGGAATGCAAAGAAGAATAAATATTACAAAAAATGTTCACGCATGTCAAAGAAAGGTATATAGCATTGTATAAAGATAAATCCTATTTATTCTCCGATTCCAGAAATAGTATGATACACGGGCAGAGAAATACTCTGTTGGTTTCAGTTAACAAATGGAAACAAATTTTACTAATGGAAGTAGTGCTGACATTTCAATTAGCTATGAAATAGTTCTTGAATAGTTTTCAAATTATTGGCTTGCTTAGCTATGTTTTCCTAGTGTTCGATTTTTTTTTTATTTTGTTCATAAAGCTGATTTTTGCCAATGTTAAAATGTATAAAAGTTTTTATGTTCCAAATATAACACTTCGATCCGTATTCAAATCAACAATTTCTTTTTTTCAATACAGGGTTTTGCAAGTTTTGTCGAAAAACTATATGCAATTCAGGAGCGATAATCTCATAGATCGCGAGAAGCATGAAATAAACCAGCAGAATATTAAATTTTATTGAATAAAAAGTCAAACTATTTTGATTTTTTTTTGAATAAATTTGAAAATTCCTATATTGGGATTTTTTTGAATCAAGCTACGATGTTAGGATATGTGATCTTTATCTAGAACCAAAAATCTGCTAAAGATGTGAAGTCAAAACAAGAACAACCTGTACCAAATAGTTTTTATTTTTTTCGAAAAATACTCATTATATGATGACATATGTATCACTTCGTGTAGTAAGAGATATTTACCTGAGATATTTGTTTAAATACTTTCCTCTTGCTTGAACAAGGTATTATTATCTGTTTAAGAATCATCTAGAGTTGGAAATAAATAGTTCCTTTGTTGATGAATGATTCAATAAATGCCTAGGGCACGAATTGTAGTTTTATGCGTTAGAAATATTTTAATATTCAAGCCGAGAACTAAGTCTACAAATAAGGTTAATACACACTCGAACGTAGGTTAAAATAACATTTTACTTATTAAGTAGTTCAGGAAAGTCAGTATTTAGTTGAAAAGCATTTGTCAATTTGAAGATAACCAAATTCAATATATCCTATTTTTATTTCATGGGGATGTCATTGAAAATTTTACTGCTTGAAATATACTTTTAAGTTCAAAGTTTAAAATATTCACTCCGTGAAAAATGCAATGACGCAGCAAAAAAGTTTTGTATGACAATTCAATTTTCAATTAAGTGAATTCATCAAAGCAACGTCACTTGTATTCATCCAGATATAAAATACTTTTTCTTTAAGCATCAAAGCTATTGTAGACCTCTAAAATAGCCAGAGCTACCAAGGCTATGTATTCGTGGTAAATCAATCTCGATTATCGCAAGACTTGAAGCAGTTCAAGCGAATACGGTCTAAAAAAACATCTTCTATGAGGTAGTGAATTCGACATAAATAACATTTTTGAAAAAAAAACTACTGCGACACATTTCTTTGTCTATTGTAAGTTCTGAAACTTAGAAAGGCCACAGATCGTTATATTATAATATAATGAGCACAATAAAGCAACATTTTGTCTAGGAGAAATAGTTTGCGGTTTGGACGCCAATGGAAAGTCGAAAATATTTGATATTATTTTTCCAAATCGGTCTAGCCGGTTTCGTACAGTAACAGTTGGTATTAAAACTGATACTTAGAATTAATCTTATAATCACATATGTTTAAGAGAGGATGTGATCATTGACAAATAGATATATTATGTTCAGTGAGTGAGAGAACTCGATATAGGTTTTGCACAAACAAGTAAGGCGAACAAAAATGATTATTGCTGTTTTTTTCTCAATACTTTTGCAAAACATTTGGCTTAAGGCTACGCAAAACAGTACGTCATGAATTTAGTGACGAGTATGAGTTTCGTACCATCACAACCATTATCATCGGCAAAATCATTGAATCAGGCTTTTACGCTAAGCAGACCATAATCATTGATCCAAATAATCTTGTTTCATGTACTTAAACACTGTCCACCGTGATGACGTTTTACACGAATTGCCATTTTTGAAGGCATTTATTCTAACGTTAATAATATAAAGATATGTTTAAATTAGTATCTATATAAGTATATATTGATTTAGATCCAAGAAAATCCATCCGGATTATCGGTACAAAAAAAAGTTAATCTTGAAAAAGAGTTTGCTACAAATGAAGAAAACTCAAAGTTTTCGGTTGCACTTTCTGATCTTAACTTTTGATCTGTTTTGTGACACAGGTGTATAAATGGATGTGTATCGTCATCACCCAGGAATCGGAAAGTAAAAGTCATTTATAAATATTCGTTTACGATTGTGTCATAAAAGATACATAAATTCGAGTAGTGCAAAAATCATTTGTTTCCCTGTTTGTCCCCAAACCCAATACTTTTTATATTTACATCATCGTTGCAAGATATCAAAAAGCAACAAAATCCTGTTTACCCAATAAAAATTTATTTACAATTAAAAAAAAAATCGTTCAACGATGTCAATCATAAATATATACATATATATTATACCGAACTCATATCTTTACTTGTATCCGGGCACTTCGGATAGCAGTCAATTTGCCAAACGCCATTTCGGTAATTGACACAACATACACACAAGTTAAATCGAATTTCGAAATTTTTGCATACAATATATATATCAAGCCAAAACACTGCTTTAAAAAGCCAAATGTATTCAGAAGATTTTTTCATTTTTATTTTTCATTTTTTTTTTATCGATTTCATAAAAATGAAATCCAACGCATGAGTAAATCAACTGAAATTACAATATTCACGTAACATAATTTTACTCTTTCAACTATTACATAAAATGCCACTTTTTATTATGTAAAGCCAATTTGCCCTGGTTAATTGCATAACTTTGCTTTCTCTTACACTATGGATAAAGTTAACAAAAATGCAAAATATTGGAAGAATACGTTGCAGTTTAGGCACAAATTATTATGCAATTCAATAACATGTTATTCGGAGGATCAAAATAACCTAAAAAGCATTCTTTTTTTTCCACAGAAATGACGGATTGTCATTAATAAAATATAAGTATTGTTTTACTTGTGCCGAAAAAAATTGCATGATTGGACAATAAAAATATAAGTGAAATAGGTCTTCAATTGCATTTTCACAAAATTCACAAAGATTTGAATTCATCAAGTTAGATTTATATAAAATATCATTTGGCACAATGGCTTTCAGAAAATGTTTTATTCGAAAAGATCCAGTTAGTTTCAATAGTTGAATAATAAATATTTGTTTGACAGCCAATTAAAGTCATTGGGTAAATTTAGATTTTCTTTCCAAAACCTTGCTTTTCCGGGGGTATAAATTTATTTTCTGTTATACATAATACGGCATGTATTTTCACACAGTGTACTGGGTAAAAATTCATCAAAATCAAACATTTTTATTCTGTAAACAATTAAAATCACTAGAATTATGAACATAATCCATCCAACATTCTGGTATGCAGCCAATTAATTTATAATATTCCCATTATTTATTTGCATTGTATTTTATACCGAAGTGTTCTATCAGTTGAAAATAAGAGAATAGAGAATTTTGTTCACTAAATGATGTAATTCACCGACTCCGTGTTGTTTCCAAGCTTCTATGAAAATGGCATTCTTGCATATATATTGTAATTTATTGTCGTTGTAGAGGTGGATATTGGCATTAGATGTTAATTCTTTATATATGTACCAGGTACACAGTGTATCTATAATTGTTAGGAAATGAAGCATTTTTATGAAGCGAGAGTAATACCATAAATTTTTTTTCAATAAACAATATCTATATCTCGTAAATAATAAAGTTCAATGCTTTCGAAAGATAGAATAGTCTAACAAAATTAGTATCAACAGCGCGACCATGCGGTGCAACTATTTGAGTTTTGTGGTGACTAAAGTGAATCACTTTGATCGTGTCGTAAAATATGTGTTGCTTTTTCGCCGTTGACGAAAACAATTTTGAAATGCGGAGTTTTACATTGTCAATGTTTGAAACTGTAGCTGATGTTTTTTTAGAAAACAAATTTTTGTGAAAACTTTCGAAATTATGTGCTATAGAATGGCTGTGTACAACAGGCTCAGTACACCACGGGGTGACCAGAAAACAGAACTCATACATTTCTTCTACAAAAGTTCTACAAATCTTTTTATACTCTGTATGTAATTTATTGGACATGAAACTATTTGCCGGCTTGTAATTCTGACCAGAGCGAAAAATTGGTCATCTTTGGCATATATATAGAGTGTATTGTACATCATCATACCCCTATATAAATCAGTATGTTGGTGTCGGCATTATGCACAGCCGTATGCAGTATAAGAGAAGAATTTGGATTATTGCGAAACATAATAATTACCGATTTTCGGAAATCATCTTAATACTTCATTTTGTAACCACCCCTCTCAATTTTTCTTCGTCATAACGACTAAAGCGTGCAGACATGACTAGTCTCAGCAAAAATGTGGTATATCACGATGTAATCCAGAAAAAAATATGTAATTGAATATAATAATGCTAAAGTTCAACACCATTGTTAAATTCCATGCATATTACCCGAAACAATGCACGGCTGCCAAAAGAATGACCTGTAAATGCAAAAACGTGTGTCATTTAAATTTGTGTCGTGAATCAATAGTCGGTCACGGAAATTTAATTAGTGAATAATATTCACATGGCGATTAAACATTTTGTACACATTACCATTGTGCGCTTGGCATTGAACGGTACTTCTTGTTTTACAAAATAGAGTATTTTTGAACGTTGCAACTTACGCCAATGAGAACAACATTTAGATGTGGAATCATAGGATACAGTAATTAGAATATTTTCTAGAAATGGTTAAGGCTTGTAGACCTTCTGAGCGTACGAAGGTGTCGGTTATTTTTGAATATGTAGATTTTCCAGTGATCAAACGTGGGGCAGTGTAAGGCGTAAGGTGATCAATTTTAATTATGTGCACATCTTTCAACTTTTTTGAACTCTTTTAACCTATTACGAGGTTAAACCAAACACCACCAAATTATTACTACTCTAGCACATTTTCATATGTCTTTCTATAGGTCTAAAATAGAATCAAGCACGAAATAAAGATAAATCAACTCATTGTGTCAAACTAGGCGTACAATAACTACAAAATAAAAGAAAACATATCAAATTTTTCACAGCGAGAACCTCGAAATTAGCTGCGCGAATCTCTAAAGCCCATATGAAAACAATACATAAATAGCGGTATCAATTAAGGCAGTAACCACGTAAATACAATACGCTATTTGTTTGCAAAGATATGCAAGAAACTCAAACATTCTTTCTTGTTTTGAACTATATATATTATCAATGTTTAACATTGAATTCGGCCGTAAGTTTGCAATAATTCATTATGACGTTGTATTGCAGTTATTTCCGATATTTGAAGCTTCAGTCAAAAGATATTGTCCAATAAATCGCCATGTTTCCATGAATTTTACAAATGTCTCACACTGCATACGTCATCTTCCAATGCTATCCATCTTGATTACTTCTGACGTGACACCAAATTTGAAGAGTGATAGACGAGAGAGCAAGTGGTAGCCGAGTACCATCCTAAATGTCTATTGCAGGAAAACAGTCGACAATTAGTCGCGGAGGAAAATAATATAAAAATATAAATAATTCCTAATATCGATTAGCAGACGCTAAAGTGTTTCTTTAGTAACTTATCAGTTTTCTAATGTTGTTGCATAGAGCTACCAGCACATGCGAGTCCGGAAAAATTATATTATCTTTATATTGTAGAGGAGATTGTAAGACATGTTTTATATAATCGTTACCAAACAATGAAAAGTTTATAGAGAAAGCAGATTTTTTATTAAGTTAATTGCACAAGTAAAACCTGACATGAAAGAATGTCGTTTTTACCGGTTTTGTGCTTTGAAGTAGGGGAGATGAAAAAGAAAGTTTATATATCTGTAGAAATTTGATATCATTATATAGGCAATACAGCTGTGTTCTATTTGTTCATACCTATAACTCTTCCATATTGACAAAATAAATTTGTTCAACTGTTACGCCGCTGGACTATTTTGGTCGGGGTATTCCTACATTGTCGACATGTAGTCGAGTAAGATCATAAAAAAACATCAGTGGATAATATTTGAAATTCTTGACATGAAAACCCAATTGAACCATTTATTTGATATAAAAATCAACATTTCGTGTGAGTATTCTGAATTATTTAGTCGACTTTAATGAAAGTTTGTAAATTAACATTATCCATCAAAATCGATGTCATCTTGAGTGTGCTTCAAAGCAGCTGAAACTTTTAATTTTGCTCAGTCAGGTCAAAAAGTGAAATGAATTCTGCTGGTAGTCGTTTGATCTGCAAAATTTATTTTGGTTGCGCCGTTAGTAGTTTCATTTTCGGATTGTTTCAGTAAATATTTTTTGCAAAAAAATTGAATGCATATTTTTAGGTTGCGCAACTATAATAACATCCGAAATTGTTTGAAATATTTAATAGTTTTATCGATAAATTCTAAGAAGGATCGCTGTTCGTGTACTTATTGTTTTTATTTGTCTAGTACAAAATTCTAAATTTGGATCTTCAATTTCGCAAAAAAGATCGATAATTTTTCGTGTTAATGTCTTAAAGATCTCACGTAGAGATTGTGAGTAAAGTATTATGTGCGATTGCCGGGGAATTTTATTGTGTTAGATTTTATACAATGATATATGTTTTATTTGAATTACAAGTATGCTGTGAAATAGGCATAAAGATATGTTATCTTTAACAAAATTGCAATAATAGCATTGGACTATTGAATTTAACGATGAAAACTGAGGTATATTTTTGGCATTGAGTTGTCATGTCGGAAATAGAAATATATCACTGAAGCGCATAAAAAATAAGAAATTATGTTTAAATGAAAGCAAATAGGTATAGGTAGATATCTAAATAAAACTGAGAGAACTTGTAATTATAATTATATACGACTATATGTGTCGCGGTACACTTAATTAAGCGCGTTAGACTTGATTAAACCATGCCGACTTTCAGCTTCTATTTCTGACGGAACACGGGCCGCCCCGGGTTTACCAATTTTGACGCTATTATTAAATTTTTTTTTATTTGTTTTTTTCATTTTATTGCATGTAACTACGCCAATTTATTTAGTCGATAAAAATAGCATTGGTAAAATGGCAATGTTAATTTATTGTAGATCCAGATAGCACATTGGGAAATAATTCTAATCGAGAATAGTAATTCTACCTTATCGGATTTTTTTTTAATTTGGAACAAATAGAAGCACCGTATTTGAAACAAATATTGCTTACATGCGTGCTGACTTGCATCGGTTGCATGCATTGCTAAACTAAATGTTAAGTTCCTATATGAAACATTTTACTACGCGTTTAGCGATAAGTTGTGCATTAAAATGTTACGAATACTCTTTTTGTTATATTTATCAAGCTTGTAACATTGTAGATCATCTATATAATCTGACATCTGCATAAGTTTTTTAATCTATACTCAAGTACAGTCGGTATTGTACCAGTGCACAACTCAATTAAATGTGAATTAGCATATTAAAAGTAAATCAATTCTAAAATGGTGAGACAAGCGCGCAACCATGTGAGGTGATGTAATTGTATTATTTATGATCAATGAATAAAATACCGGAAATACAATGCACGCGCTCTATAACAATTAAAAGTTATGTTTCGTGAGCGTGTAGAAAAATTAGATTTTGTAATATTTTTTCATATATGTATTATTATCTCACATAAAAAATAAGAATTATTCTCAAAAGAAGCATTCCTAATGCAAGCTTTGTTCTTGATTTTGCGTAACAAAGGTTACTTGTTGTTAGCTTGATATAGAATTTCATCGATATAATACTTTCAGCTATTATTTATTACTTATTCCCAGAAAGTTTCCGACAATGAAGTAGAGTTTGCACGAAAAATCCATAACAGGCAACATCAAATCACGTTCATGAAATAATTTTGAAATAAATCAAATTAGGTCAGTCGGATTGAAAATTTAACCTATTACATTTTCGAACGGAAATACTATTTAGTTTAATTGAAAGAATGCACTTTGAGGTATGCTTAAATGTTTGTGTAAATGTGTAAAAGTTTTAGGCAATGATTATAGTGTTTCGAAATCGCCATTTTATAATTCTCGGTTTCAAGTTTAGATGAAGAGCCTTGAAAACGTATAGATCAAATGGAATGTAGGAATTTGATTGAAATAATTAGCAAATGTCTGCAATTCAGCACGGACTATTACGCTGACAAAATAATAGTTATATGTAAAGTTATATTTTAACAACAAACTTAAAAAGTTCAAAAATTGTTCAATTTTGAAAAAGAGTGAAAATTAAAGAGTGAAATTTAAATTATAAATTAGACTGAATATCTAGCATTAATTTATTTAAACTGTTTATAACGAGAGAAAGGTGAAAAAATGGATTAAAGCTAGATTCACCGAATTTGTAGATTCTCGATTTATACAGAAAAAATACACATTCTGCACTATTTACCCTTGATTATATCTTGATACCTAAACGCGTTTCCATATATGCCATGCCCGGGAGCAAATATTTTTATGCACATTCTGATTTGACGATTAGTAGACTTGTGATTTATGAAAAAAACTGTTAACATTCATTAGGTGATTACGAGGTTTTATGGAGGGTACTTCCCAGAGTTAAATTGCTTCTTCCGTTCAGATCATCTATCAAGTTTTATTCAGTAATAAAAGATTGTCAGGTGTAATAGAAATGAGATAAATTTAGTTTATTCGTGTAATTATGTCATTGGACTTACCGCTGTAGTAGCCGAATTAGCTTAGAAATTAATTTTGGTTAGAACTTAAAAGTACCATTATTGTAACTTTTAAAACCAAGCGAAACTGCAAGTTGAACGAATGTGTCAACTTTTTAGATTTATCGGCTAAAAGTAAATAATCTGGTTGATATTTTGAAAAATAAGAGGGAAACACACGTAAATAGGCAGTTATATTCAATAAATTTTATATCGGTTGGGTATACCAATAAACTAAGTCTAAATTATCAAGTTAACAATGTATTTGTTTTGCAGATTAGTAATTTAAAATTGTTTGATCTTGAAAATGAACTTCGGTATAATCGCCTTTGGCACATTATTTGCCGTTGTGGTCATGACCGTATCAAAGCCTTCGACAGCAGGTAAGTTCCATAGCATGACATCATAACATATAATACAATTTCGGCACAAAAACAAACGTGATGCCACCCAGTTTAATACTTATAGCTTTGGTCACAAATGAAATATAATTTTTTGATTTAACCGACTTGTCAAAGCAACGTAAAGGATTAGCGACTTCTCTGACAACGCAACAAAATCTGAATAGTATAAGCAAACTGTAATCTAACTTTCTGTTTCAGTGTGTTTGTCAATTTATTACTTAATGTTTCCACAGATTCCTCAGTACCCCGCATTTTATAGATTCGTTCGACTCGTCATATGATTATAACTGTACAACTGATTATGCATGCAGTAATGCTATAATAACTGATCAACCGTCCAACTTTACACAATGAATATATTGTTATTAGTGTATACACCCCCCTCCTGTATGTTTTAAACTTCATTTAAGATTTTTACCATAGCCGAAAACTATTTTGTGATGTTCTTTATCCTGTGTTGTGTGAAATAAAGTTTCCAAAATAAACTATCGTATTGTATGTAACATATCAAAAATATTTGAATTCAGGAATATAAAAATTAAGGATAAATCATCAAATTTAGAATGCATATATGGTGACTATATAAATATATATACAGTTTGTTATTTTATTTTTAATACACCAAATCACCAATCGGAGTCGTATCCATATATGCACAAAGTACGTGTGATAGGCTACTACTCCATTTATTCATTATTCAAACTCGGTCCTAATTTTCAACAATTTTGTAAGCAAAACTTAATCTATTGAAACTTATTTATCATTTCAGCATCTGTCGCAGCATTGAGCAAAGATAGATTCAATGACACTATTCTGATAAACTCCACCACAACTACCACCGTTGCACCAGTGAAGTTGACAACGAATACTATTCAGCTGAACTCCACCCCGACTACCACCGTTGCACCAGTGAAGCCCAAATCTAAATTCAAGCGAGTCATCTATTGCCAAAACTATTGCGAATGGAATCACTTCAGAGGAAGATATTTGGGGAAATGCGTCAATAAAAGAAATAAATTTCATTGCCATGTTTGTCGGAAAAAGGGATGTAAAAAGTTTTTGGTTCTCGGATAAACAAATTTTCAACTTTGTATGCGTTTCAACTTTGTACCCTGTCTATGGCAAAACGCATCCAACTTGCGTTCGAACGATGTATTGCATTGTAATGAAAAGTCATAAATGTCATAATAAAAATTGCAAATATTGTGCACACAGAATACCATGAACATATATAAACGATGAATGAGTTTTTATAAAAATAAAAGATCAATTTTGAGACTTGTATGTTGACTTTTCGTACCTTTATCCCTGTTAATAATTCAGCCTTCAAATCGATTTATTTATTGTTTTATTTAGTTATGATCGATCGTTGTAAATAGTTTTACACGCAACACAAATTTTCTTGATTCATATGTGTGCAGAATATATGTGTATGTGTTATGTGTGTCTAATACATTTTTAAATTCGAAGTGTGACGTGTTAATGCTATTTCAAAAAGGCATTTATGACAATCTTAAACAAAGTAACTCGAAAATACCTGAAAAAATTTATGAAAACTCGGTTAATGCTTGATTGGAACATACATGTACAGTTCAAAGAGTACTAATACTTTTTGTACAAAGTGGTTCTCGACATTATATGGCTCTTGTAAAATAAAAAATGAAATGTGTGAAAATTTGTGCCTAGAATTGTGTCCCCGACCGCTCTGCAGGCCTCTTGCATCAGGGCGCGGTTGGGAACCACTGAATCCCAGATATCCCACAGACAGGGCGCAGTTGACTGATTGATATTTGACTTGGAATTCAACGTAATTTGAAAGATGTTGACGAATTTTGACAGAGTTCAGGTGAAAAAACAAATTCCTGTAACAACGTAAAAATGAAGGAAGCATATACTGGAACCAATTTTTTGGCCCCAATTTTTAAGAACCATGTTGATTGAACTAGGCAAAGTCAAAAAGATGCCGACATTGTTCGTTGTTACAATTAGTTTTTTGAAGTTAAAATGAAATGAAATTAACGTGTTGATATTTTCATTGCTCCGAATAATTTTTTTTTGTTCTTTCAACTTGTTTATTACATTATCACGCGAATACTTAGTGTTGATTGACTCCAGCTAATGAGAAATTGTTAACGTTTATGGTAATTCCTGATGTTAACAGCGTTTGCGTGTAAAAATAATGCATACAATAAAAGAAAGTTTACCTCTTATAAATTAAGTATTTTGTCAAATTTTAACGTGAGAACAATCTTCGTTTAAAGAATTATTATACTGGTATCATGTTTGGCATGGCGGCGAATGGCTATTTCTTTGAAGGGTCTTATCGCATTATCATATATTGATGTATTTGTAGTTTTATGTTTTTCAGTTTATCTCCTTAATAATACATTCAAATATCATTTTTGCTCATTTCATGAAAACACACGCGGGAGAATAGCGATCAAAAATTAATTTCCGAAAAAGACCAGAGAAGACCAGTTTTTGAGCGCCAACTCGTAAAATACTTTAAAATATAAACTTTACATACATTTTTAATGGCAGGTTTAGGAAGAATATTTCAGACGTCTGAAAAAGGGGGACATCCTTGGTTTAATTCAAATTGCTTTTCGTACAATTTTTGGTACTCCCGTATTGTGTGTACCAGATTAGGCCATAATTTTTTCCCGATTTTCCCCATTTTAATTCTATGTCGAGCTCGGGATTGTCGGTGTTAGCGAAGTGAGTATACTCCTTTCCCGTGGGCTTCCCTTTACACAACTTGATGTAAAGTAGGCGAACAAAATTAGTTACCTCCATATTGGTACACACACTTCCGGAAAGCCCAATTTTTTACATAATTTTTTTATTATTTTGATTTCATTTATAATGACGTTGGGCACTAGAACAAATATTTAGAGATATTGGATAATACTGCGATTTTCTTATAAAATCAATCAATTCGCAGGGCATCTTGTGATGTATTACACTGTATAACTAAAATTATGTATCTCTATTTGATGGGCCATCTGATATTGAAACAAAGCAATGCTCAAATATATGGATACGGAGACTAAAGCGAAGCAGTGGTCTGTCTAGTCTACCTTACCTTTCACAGCACCGGTACCATTATAAAACTTCCCGACTTTCGCGTTGCAAGAGAGTAGCACGAGAGAGGTCGAAGGATCGCTAAAAATAGTTAGTAATAAATTTCAAGAGGGTATCACACAACATTTCGAAGTGAAAAATCAATCACATAGAGCCCACAAAAAGTTTTGAATAAATAAAAAAAAATAAATCATTCATAGATTACGGTAAATTTTAGTGATTTACTAAATGTCATATTAATGAGAAGAGTTATTAGCCAGGTATTTTAGAACTAAACCCATTTAGTGAGTGATTTTATGTTAAAATAATTGACAAATATAGTACTTGAGGCCGCCCGGGCGGCTAACGTATTTTAAAAAGAATGGGTCAAAGCAGAGACCCTGTCATGTAACCAATTTATGATATTTTATTCTTATTTTTTAAATATTCCAAAAAAATAATATTTGATGTTCCAGAATTCATTAAAATTTACATATGTTTGACATGTATGAGTTATTGCTTCACTGCCTGCGAGGCGCAAGATATTTCGGGGGATTCCCCTATAATATCCAATTTACTACCTTCTGTATAAAAATTCGTATCTTGATTTGACAAGCTTTAGATAGTCTGGTATTAGTACGCTGCAACTGCAGAATTCTGGAATTGGACTTGATCGTACAATATAATTCATGGCCAATAAACGTATCGCTTCGTCATCGCGGGATAATTGGGGGGAGAAGTTGGCCCGCAAATCGATGGAGATTAGCAATGGCAACTCCCCTTTCCATCATGTTACATTGAAACATAGAAGAACAACTTTGGAGAGAGTAGACAAATTTTTATCACCAATTTATTTTACTGATGTAAACATATTTGGAAGGTAAGCAAGCTTATTTCATTATTTAATACTGCAGCCCATAATATGACATTACAAGTATTTTGACAGAACTATATCAGTATTCTGCATTGATTTGAATCGATTATTTAGTTAATGTTCGTCAGTTTGATCTCAAGAAATTGTTCAGTTCTGAATACTGAACTAATATGTCATACCTTTCGAACCACGCAGGCTGGAGTACGCAAATCTATTTTCACTTCAGTTATGAAGTATTGAAATGTTATTGCAATAATACAGTGTTTGGACATGATTAATCAGAGATTTTGTGGTCGTAAAAAAGTAACATGTTTTCAAGACACTTATTCGGCATGCATTTGGCTTGGTTTTATAACAATTGCACCATAAGTTGAAACTTTTAAATTCCCCTCTATTGCATTGCCTATTGTTAATAATTGCATATTCTCACCCAGGCCTTCATGAGCCAAACATTTGCAAGGCCCAAACCTCCATATACAAATCTTCTTATCCTTACTTTCCTAAGCACAGCCCAGCTTTTATAGTCATCCGCTTGTTTAATTGCTCAACTTTCAGTTATTCATAAGTTGTAAATAAACTGATTTTTGCTGATTCCAACTTATTAACATTTTATTACTCCAATATTCAAGTGTCACATATTAGCCAAATAAATATATTAAAATCATGTGATCTGATTATGTTTTAATAATATGAATCTCTTTCAGCAAATACCATTTATCAAATTCAGCTAAATATTAATTTTTCATTGTTAATTTTCAAGGTTATATCAACGACATGCTCCTGTTATGTTGATTAAACATTTTGGACCAACAAATTCAACCTTTCAGGAAATATCAAAATGTGAAAATCATTTTAAAAATTTTATTGTCGGTGATAATTTCGGACCAACGTAAGATTTATTACATTATTTTTACATGAATTTATAAAGTGTTTTTTTGAAGGTGTTGTTTATAAATCCTCAATGTCTTATTGGTACAACAGGTTAATTTTAGTCATACATCACACATTTGTTTCAAGGTTGTAATAGAGTTTACATTATATGATTAATTGTTTTTTTTCATAAATTTTCTTTATTCCATATAAAATCCTAATTTTGTAATGTACTGATTGAAAATAATGTCAGATTTACTTCACATTATTCTTCTCTATAATATTACTCAATCTATATTACTATTTATATTCAGATTTTCAAGACATTGGTTCAAACTGTCCATTGAAATACCATCTTCATGGATCGGAGAGAAAGTCCAACTTATTTGGGACATGGGTAATCATTTCACTATATGATGAATATATATATATATTATACTTGATAGAATAATAAATTTATTTGTACTGAAGCAGCTATGGGCACACTACGGCCCACCAAAGCATTTTGTGCATACTTGTGCTCTTGGAAGAAAAATATGGAAATTTAGAAATGAAAAATGAAATATATTCCTCATTTATCTGGAATTAAAGTATCTAAACTATGAATTGTTAAGTTTATATTAAAGTTTTTATTCTTCGATTTAACAATGTCAGCCATATTAAATTTTAACTGAAGGTAACAATAATATGTTATGGTCTTTTGTAAAAGTTTAGGAGGCCTATTTTGTCAATTCAGCAAAAAGATTTTCTGAATGTGGCTCTTCAAAAATAAAATTTCTTAGTCCTATACTAGAGAAATAAATTAAACATGCATAATTTTTGAGGTTGCGAGGGATTGATATGGCGAAACAACAAGCCTGTATTTAGCTTGAATTATGAAGATGAGTTTGGCTTGAAAAAACGTTACAACATCTATGAAAAATTTCAACAACACAATGATAGAAGGTAGAAGATTTAAACCTTACATGTTCTGCCATGCCTGCAACAGGCAATATTTAGACAAACAGTGGTGATGATCAATATACTATTTCATTATTATTGTATAAATGTTGTTGCGTAACATAAAAGCTGGGTGAACGATGTGAGGTTGAAGAGTATAGATTTGGCCCTACTAACCAGAAATCTGGAACTATACCACAATTTTGTAATTGAAGTTGATAATACTACTGAATTCAAATATGTACCTGAAATGTAGGAAATTTCACCCTGACAATAATTTTGCAGTAAAAGTATTACTACCGTGTTTTCCTGAAAATAAGACCAAGTCTGAATTTTAAAAATGATTTTAATATAAGCCCTTCCTTCAAATAAGACCCAGTAGTCAATGAAGCGAATTTTTTTTTGACATTGTCGATGGCACGAAATCTCTTCTACATGTTTTAAATGATAGATAAACTAAGTTTGCAGCTATTTTGAATAAAAACGTTTTATTTATAAGTAGATGGATATCGGTTTTCATATTTTGTAGATTTGAAAATCTCGTGATTCTCTACTTTGCAATTTTGTTTTTGATAAATGGAAATACAGGACATTCCCCGAAAATAAGCCTGACTGTTATTTTACGGAAGAAAGTTGAAATAAGACCCATTCTTATTTTCGGGGAAACATGGTAGCTGTACCTGTCTGTATGAGTATGAGTTTTTCGAAGTAACTCAACCACCCATGCGTAAATACTTCCTCTTTGATCTGATATCTCTAACTAACCTGTGATGCAATTGCAAAGTCATAGTCATAGTCAGGTTTATTTTTCTAACCAGCAAAATAATAAATGATACAAATGCAAAAAATATGCGAAAATATCACATCATTTTACTGGGCAAGACAAGCCGCAAACTAGTCCTTTGACTTTAGTCATACCTTCATCTTTATTGTCAGAATACTTATTTATTACCATTTTTATGCTATTCACAAAAGTAGTCTAAAATGCACATTATGCTTTTTGATCTTGTGTGATTTGTGTTTGAAAATGCATTGAATTGAATATGATTTAATGACTGAATTCTAAAAGCTCCGTACTCAACAGAGTCTCACAAAATTAATGCCATCTTCTCTCGAAACATTAACAACTTCATGTTAGTTGCTTTACAACAAAAATACTTTCCTAGTAAAGTTTACTTTTCATCATTGTTTGCATAGTTATGTACAGCCATATTTTGAATTTTAGTGTTACATTATACATTTCTGTATCTTGTAATCGTCTTCTTGGTGAAGGAAAGAATGGAATGATAAATCCGACTGATCTAAAGAAAATGTTTACGTTGACAAAAGCTGAAATTGTAACGCTCAACTCAGATGCATACAACACTTTTCTTGACTTGTGTCTACTTCATGAATTGGCAAAGGTATGATATACAGTATGAAGGTAGTAACTAAAGTAACCTAGATTATAAATAGGACGATACTGTTTGCAGTTATTTTATATTTCAATTGCCTTCCTATTTTATGATTTAGAATGTATCATTATATATTTGACACAAAATTTGACCATTGTATTTGAGGCTGATCCAACCTTACATCTTGTAGTATGTATTGTGTTACTTTATGGCATTGTAATTTTTATTTTGAACCAGGATTTTATAAGTCAAAGTTCGTTTATTGTTCAAATAAATAAGTTATTTTTTTATCTCGACAGTCTCTGCCTGAAGATTCTCAGAGAAGTACTGAAGCACTGTATTCTGCAAATGAAATCATAAACATTTTAGTTAAATCTAAATTTTCTGAGCAGGTATGTACTATACAGACTTACTATTTACAACTTAAATTAGAATATAATTTAACATATTAAATATAGCAGTGGCTCTCAAACGGTGGTGCGTGCCCCTAAAAGGAGGGGGGGGGTTTCGAGGGGGTGTGAAGCTAATTAAAAATAAAAATGTTTGTTAGATTTGATCTTGCCTGCCCTATTTTGAATATTTACATTGCTGTATTTTAGATATTTAAGCTCCATACACATATTACTATCTGTTATGCATAGCTCATTGTTAGCTCGTTATTTTGAGGTGAGGTGCGAGACTTGACACTGAAAAAAAGGCTTAAAAAATTTGAGAAACACTGACATAGAGCATGTAACATTATGTTTAGCCACTGCTCTCTTTGCACTAAGATTCATTTTACGCAGCCTTGCTGCATCATTCTTATGATGAAAAATGTATTCAAATTACCGTAAATGCTCGTTTTAACGCCCGGTCTTGATTAAGGGCCCGTTTGAATAGCGCTCGTGTGAACAGGACATAAAAATAAATAAGGGCCAGTGCTTGAATATCCACCCGGTGTAAAAGTTTTTTTTTTTGCGGATTTGTGCCTGCGGTGTGTAGAAAAAGTCAAAATTTTCAATATTCTCGTTTAAATCATACTTGAGAACTGGAAATGACAATATACAGTATTATTTATTGTAACGATCGATCTTATCTACCAGTATTTTTGTGTGTGATTTTACTTTAAAAATAACAAGCGCCCCTGCTTGAATAAGGGCCGGTTTGAATAAGGGCCTGGTTAGTGAGTATGTTTAAAAAAATAAGCGCCCGGGCTATTAAACGAGCAAATACGGTATATATCAACTAAAGATTACTTTTTCTGCAATCGTCATTTTTAGTTTCTCCATTTACACTTACCGGTATATAAATTTTGATATTTCCTTTGCAACATCAGGGATACACGAATGCTAGAGATATATCGAAAAAGTTTTTCAACACAAAGACAAGAGATGGAGAACACATTGTTCATGCTATGGGACATTGCCACATTGATTCTGGTATGCATAAAGAGCATTTTACTGCTAAGATGAAAATTTTAAATCAGCCAAGCTAAAACCAACGAAGCTAGAAGTATTATATCTAATTTACCCTCCATGCCCACCACTACCTCTCCCATAGTGCAATAGATTGAATTAAAAGAAATTCTTCTCATAATAAAGTTTTTTTAGTGCTGAGAAATTTGATTGCTGTATTAATATTAGTTTATTTTAATATGTATATCTTTATTATGCAATCTTATTTTCACATTAATTCAGCATGGTTATGGCCATACACTGAAACCATTCATAAATGTGCAAGGAGTTGGATATCAACACTCACTCTCATGGATAAGTTTCCTGATTTTACATTTGTTTGCTCTCAGGTAAAATTTTCTTGTATGGAAATTTGCTCAAAGCAAGGTCACGTATACTCACTTAGAATAGAAGGGGACTAATCCCTGAGCCGAGTTAGGTGGAGCCATGGAAGCCATTATGTAAGAAATATTGTTGTCAATCCTAACATTAGGTCTAATGTATTTTGCATTACTATTCTTAAAGATTCATGTTATCGATGTTCTTTCATTGCTCCAGATTTTTATAATTATCCTTGTGGCAGAGGAAAGCCTAATCATATGTTGAGTCATATGTTGCCTCGACGGTATGGCGCATCGTGCTAAGCGTTAGGAATACGCACACCACCGCATCCCTGATTACCCTTTTGGGGTTCGCAGGTTCCCATGTGGGGATGATCATGTGCGAGATTTGATGGACTCCTCGCCGCCGTAGTGTGGTTCACGTAAACGCTGGTCGGTTACGGCTTCCTCCACCATCAAGTCCATGCTTCCGAAATCAAATAACTGGCTAACTAATCCCCTACCCGACCTGGACTGGTAACCGGACAAGAGGCTGTGGTTCGCCATATGATTAAGCCGTCTTATTGGCTATCCTCTCCCCCGGGGTAAATATGTAAATCCTATCCTAGTTCTATAACTTCTTATCTGGTTACTAGTCCATGTCGGGTATGGGAATAGTTTACCAGTTATTTGTTCCAGATGTGTGGATTTATTAAGATAGAATAGAAGATATGATAGAAACCATATCTGACCAGCACTTGCTTGAGCCTTCCTATGTCTTTTCGCATATAATTGAATCCCACAGCATTCCAACCTGTGCAGGATAATCAGAGGTGCGGTAACAAGTAGAGATGTACCGATACCACTTTTGTCGCCGATACCGATACCGATCCGATACCAGCTAAAAAATCCGATACCGATATGCCGATACTACAGAAAGGCCGATATTACCGATATTCCGATACCGATACTATGTAAATATTACTTAATTAGGTGTGCTGTGTAGGGCAGACGGGTTAAAACAATGGTCTTTGAGCGTTGTTCATAGTACACATTATTTCAGATCGAAAAAAAAAATCACATAATATGAAATTAATGCTTGGTGTTTGCTTTAACTCAGGGGTCACCAAACTACGGCCCGCGGGCCGGATCCGGCCCGCGGCGTCATTTTATCCGGCCCGCGATAACACGCAAAAAGGGCGAAATATTTTTCCAAAGGAAATTTTCCCGAGCATCGTCTTCCTTGTTTATTTCGTAAAATTGGCCAATCAGCAAGATGCAAAAGAGTGACGTGATAATAGGCCTTTTCGCATTCGCTCAGACACTTTTGTCACCCTGACAGATTTTCAGTCGTGGTTGTAAACAATACTTCGTTAGTTTTAGGTTGTGTTTGGGAAATTTAAGTATGAATGAAACAAATTAAGTCAGTCATCATTTGCCTCCTTAGGAGTTATAGTTTTAATAGTAGTAATGAAAAATTAGTCTGGAAATAGCAGTGACAAAACAGGTTTAAATTTTCTACCAGTATGCAACGTTTTCTGCGAAAGATACACTCGTGACGCGTGCTTTCGACGAAACTGTTTACGTTTCTTGTGCTAAAATGAACGTCGAATGTGCGTTTTGCGCTAACAGTACTGTAATCCCTCGCGTAATGCTCCAATTTCAAAAGTCACACTAACTTTTGTACTGCTTAAATGCGGATATTCATGTACGTATGTTACAAAAAAATTAAAAGTTTATCCGATTTAAATGAAAACTGCACAATTAGATAGATCTGAGTGAAAATAAGAAAATAATACCAAGTTTGAAAAAAAACGTTAAAAAATATTGGAATTTTAGTACCGCCCGACAGGCCAATTTTTTTCATAAGGATAGTATTACTTTTTTGATAAGAACTGTAATAAATATGAAAAAAAACATATCAATCACTAATTTTTCGATCTGCGTCACATCTATGGAATATTGAGACTATTTCAGGATTGTATTCTGGCAATGGTGTTTTACACCGCCGAGAGATCGTGGCAAATAAACGCTGGAGTTGTGCATGTTAGTTTGTCAGTGGTTCATTGGTAAATTGGTAAGTATCAAGATAGGAAAGAAATACACACGTCTACATAAATTTTATTGGTGTCTATGGACATTACCATTAATTTGCACTAAGTATAACTTGAGCGGAATTTTTGAAAGTTCGGAATGATGGGCAATTTATGCGCTAATGAAAAAAATCAAATACCGGATTATGTCAAAATTTTATGGAATTCTATGCTACAGCAAGCAGTCCGTAGTCGTTGTTATGAGCGATATTCCGACACGGCGTAACGGTACTTAGCAGACGTGATGCGGACATTTTTTGGCGCAGAAAGGCGAATTTTGTAACATTCCTAATTCATGACTGCAACGTTTTGATAACAGCTAAACTCAGGATAGTTGTCAAGATATGAAAATCTTGTATATTTGTTTTCCTAGGATGTTTGCGATCTATATCCTGCGATATAGATAGAATTTAATATTCAAGTCTTCAGAAATGTAGAATATATATCGTTAACAAATTGAATGGATTTCCCAACTTTTGTGAATTTATTGTAGACCTATTTGCATTGACAAAAATATTTGTCCGGCCCGTTTCAACACAGTCTGAGTCATACCCGGCCCGCGGTCAAAAAAGTTTGGTGACCCCTGCTTTAACTGATTAAGATACACTGTACAGTAACGCTAGTAATCTCGGTGTTCAATTAGAAAACTCATAAGCCGGGATGTTCAATTTGAATTTAATGTTAATATTGCGACCTTCGAATATCGTTATTCGTGTTTAAAAAAATATCGAATATCACCCACACATTCTAGAGCCGCCGTCCTACGTTCAAATTAAAAGCATTTTTCAAATATTTTATTTCGTGGCTAATCGTAATCGTCGACGCAATAAGTCAAAGCCAACATGAAAGAATATCAATCAGCACCGACCAAAAGAAGGCCTACATGTAACCGTCGAGGATGTTTTTTTACTTTACTATTTTATATTATTATACAATTGCCATCATATATTTTGAGACAGTCTAGGCCCTCTGGGGCTAGGCGGTCATGTCAATATATCTATAAAGAAATTGTGTAGTTAAACAAAATTAATATCTGCGTAGAGGGATAATTGTGTCGGAATTTAGTTTATCGATGTCGTCGGACTAAATGACACTCGTTCTTGACGACAAACAGTCAGAATTTATACCCGTGCCAAAAGCCCATGTGCCGTTAATAAGGACCCCAATTCCACTGTATGATTTAAAACTGGGCGCCTAATTGCTTTTTGTTATGTGCCGTGTTGATATATTTCTTTATAATTACTATGTAATATAAAGCATGTCAATATAAAAATTTGACAGCGAAAATAGCTAAAAATACGTGAATCCTATTCTCTGGCGGGGGTAGGGACATGTATGGCTCATAGATCACGATCTCTTCAGACAAAAAATAAATTAAAAAGTAGTATTCCAACTTATCTTTTAATACATTCTGGACCATATCAAAAAGGTAAATATATCGGAAATATCGGCCTTAATCTAACCGATACCGATACATGGCCGATACCGAAAAAATGGCCGATATTGCCGATACCGATACCCGATACCGATACATCGGTACATCTCTAGTAACAAGCAGGTTTTTAACAATTAGCACAATGTGCCAAATGCTGAAATAGCAATATCTGCTCTATTAGATACATTTTTTTGTTTGGCCAGGCACAACAGTTTGAATGGGTAAAAGAAAATTATCCTGAAATCTACAAGAAATTGAAAATTTATGTCAAAGAAGGAAGATTTATTCCTGTAGGAGGAACATGGATAGAAATGGTAGATAGTAATTTTTTTATAAAATTATTGTCAATAATCCTAAAAAGCCCAGAATATTATTTTCATGTTCCAAATATCTGTTTGCACAAACCTGCATAACAATTTAGCAAATATTTAGATATCAGATTGTGTTGTGCAATTGTCTACTGAGAAACATATACAATGAAACACCAATACACTACCATCTACTGCCAATATTTTCATGTCTATATCAGGGGTGTGCAACCTTTAATACAGTAGGTGAGACCCGGGCCGCACCTCTATTAAACATAGACTTTCTAGTAGTTGCAGACACGACAATTTTTGGCTATTGATCTTGTGACATGCGTTGTTCACTCCGCACAAGCTAAGTGTTAGAGGGAATTGTAACATCATATGCATAGATAATAAATTGAACTCGGGTATAGGCTTTGCAACGCAAATGGATTGGAATTACCAGAATGTACCAGATTAAACTAAATTAAAAACTCATTCCGTAGGCTGCACACCATTTAAAATTGGCACTTCTTTTTCAACACTATTTTTTTTGTGGGCCACATTTGGCCCGCGGGCCACAAGTTGCACAACCCTAGTCTATATTATGCTAGCAAAATGTATTCTTCATAGGATGGAAACATTCCAAGTGGAGAATCTATGATTAGACAATTTGTGTTTGGACAAAGATTTTTCCGCGAAGAATTCGGGATAACTTGCAAAGAATTCTGGTTGCCAGATACATTTGGATATTCTGCTAATCTTCCACAAATAATGAATGAAGCAGGAATACATAATTTTTTGACTCAGAAATTATCATGGAACTTGGTTAACACTTTTCCTGTAAGTATGTTTTAGTTAAAAAACATTAGGACCTAGGAGTCTTCATGGTAAATGATTCAAAGCTGAAACTCTTGTTATGGTCAAATCATACAAGAATTGCAACTCATGAAGTGTATTTCCTTGACGAGTTAACACTGGGTTGCTGTAGGACCCACTTACTCGCCCACACTGTGTTTTACTATCGCTGAATGTGTCGTAGTTTTCCCTAGTACTACGTACCCTAGTACAATGCTCATAGATTCATTGTTAACTTGGGAACAATTTCTCTTCCAACTTTTGGAAATATTAGGAATACCTACTTTTATAATCCTATACTGTTTTGATTGAGCCATGAACAGGTATTTTAGACAACTATACTACATTACTATAATCAATAATAGCTAACATTTTCACTACAACATTTTTTCCAGCATAACACATTTCACTGGGAAGGAATCGATGGTTCAAGGTATTATTTAATTATAAAGAAAAATTGCATGTTCTTGGGTACTTGATTAGCTTTGAAAACTACCAAGATATGAGAATGTGTGTGTTTTGATGGCTGTGACTGTTGTAACTGCAAAATAAAATGTACTTGATTAGCTTTGAAAAAATACCAAGACATGAGAATGCGTGTGTCAATGGGATGCATAGTAATTAACAATAACCAACACGTGGTAATCAGTGACCATAGTCAGTGAGTCAAATTTTGACAGATTATGTATTATGCCCCATTGAATCTGGTTTAATTTGTTGGCTTGAGATAGTGATAAATAAGTTTGGACATTTCAGTTTTATGATTCTCCTTTTTTCTCAGAGTGATTTGCCACTTCCCACCCGGTGACAGTTATGGAATGCATGTAAAGCCAGAAGAGGTAATACTGAAACTTCCACCATTATAGCAAACTCCTTTGGGAACAGTTTTGGTTTTGTCATAGTAATAAATATACATATATTCTGAGTAGTTTTTGAAAATGAGTCTGGCTGTATTAAACAAAGTACAAATGAAATCATCTTCTCTCCAATCATGAAAGATGTCATTTATTAAACATGGAATGATAAATGCATGTCGTAATTGTTTTGTTAGAGCCAGCAAATTTTCAAGTTAATCTAGCTTAATTATTATAGTGACGGTACTCCTGAGGTATGTGAACAAAGATGGCGGACTCTGGAACATAGTATGTGTACCAGGTTAGGGTTAGGCCATAATTTCAGGTACAAATACTACCGGAGTCACTTTGGTAGTCCCCGAACTCGTAATAGAACTAAAATAAGGAAATTGGAATAAAATTAATGTCTAACCTTAACCTGGTACACATACTACGTGTCAGTGTCTGCGATCTTGGTTCACATACTTCAGGAGTACCAAAGTGATTATAAATAACAAAGATTATAGAAACAGCCATTCTTGAAGGTATCTAAGCACTGAATCTTATTTCTAGCTCATTGGTGGGGACACTCGCTATCACATTGTTGATAGTCAAGTCTGTGGGGATTGCTGTACTTCTCGCCATCGCATGGTTATATAAGTAACTGCTCGGTGGTTATGACCGGAAAACAGACAAAATGCAATTGCATATTATATAATTAAAAGTTGATATTGACTTTTCTCTCCCCTAGGATAAAAGTGGTCTTATCCTACTCAATAACAAACTATTTTTACAGTTGTTGAAAACAAAGAATAATCACAAAGACAAAGGAAGATCTGATACTTCGGTTTTCTTATTCGGTTTTGGAGATGGCGGTGGTGGCCCGACGTTAGTAGTATTTAGAATTTTTATTGTAATATAGTTTGCACTTATTCACATTAACAATACTATAGACTATATTATATACACTGAACATGATTTATAACTTTTATTTAATGCATATATCAAATTAACATTACAGTCCTTGATATGATATAAGTATTTATCCAGAAAGCATAGAATTTTTATATTTGTCCATTTATGCATTTTAATAAAAAGTTTTAATGAAAGGGCCAAAGCTTATCATTTCGAATGAACAGAATTGATGGAAGAAGAATTAATTTTTGGGTGGTTTCATGAAATACAATGACAAAGCGCCTAGCGACTTTCTATCACATAATTAATCCAACCGGATTCAAACCTGTAGGTCTGTTTTTTTTTTGTAACAAGATAAATCAAAATACAGCAGGGTATATCATTTTCATATCTTTTTTTTATAACTATGTGTATAACAATAGGGAAGGCATGCTTCATCGATTGTCACGCATGAGTGATTGTGCTGGACTTCCAAAAGTCAAAATGTCGACCCCCGATCAGTTCTTTGGTGACGTTGTCAAAACACAAGATAAACTTTGTACATGGGTTGGTGAATTATTTCTGGAACTTCACAATGGAACTTATACAACACAAGCAAAAGTATGTTTCTATTCGTTTTATAGCTTAAATTCCCAAACTAAGATAAGATTTTTTTATTTATCTCTTTAGTTTTCAGTCTAGGTTTCCTTCTTTTTTCAAGGGCTTTGATAGTAAGATAAAATTTCTTAACTCTGCTGTGCTGTCAGTGTGGCGGAAGTTGTATCCTAGTGGTCTATTGACTAGCTATTACTGCCAAAGGTAAAGAGTCCAGCAATTATTCTGCATAATTATACCTCACAGAACTTGAACTTGTGAACCTGCGCATTATTTAATTTGATGAAATGTCAAGTATGTTCTCAAAGCTTGCCACGATGCTCCGAACTGTCAATGCATGATTGCAAATAATTGTGAAGGCTACATTTACAATAAGAAGTTTAATGAGTAAGCTCATTGTACATGATATTGCAGATTTGTATAATTTTTTTTCAATGCTTGTTGGTTCATGTGGCTAAGTATAAAGAACACTTGTCAAAAATACTTTTTTTTTTAAGTAACTCACATGATGTGGCTAACAAGGCACACATTTGTTTTTTATAGAAAGAAAGTGGTAAAATAATTTTTCCAACCCGCAAATATTTTTAAAATTAAGATCAAGAAATTCAATCGAAAATGTGAAATACTTCTACACAATATTGAATTCATGTGGACTCTTGCTGAATCTCAGAAGAAAAAAGATTTTCCGCCATATCCTCGACAAGAAATTGACAGACTATGGAAGTTACTTTTATTAAATCAATTTCATGATGTTTTGCCCGGAAGCTCAATTGAACTGGTACAAAGAGTATTGCATTTAATCATTTAATGCTCTATACCAGTACCATTTATGCCCACTAATACAGTTGGTATTTTGCTGTTATATTTATTTGAAAATAAGATCTCAGTTCCTGATGTTATCACATGGGGGGTATATATGTAAATAAATAGAATTTTCATATTAATTCCGGGGAGAGAAAATAGAAGTAGACTCATTAAATGCATGGACTTAATGGTGAATGATGTCGTATCAGAACAACGATTACATGGTGATGGGGATGCATTGGTGTGGCGCATCGGGCTAAGCGTTAGGTAGGGATACACTCGTCACCGCACCTCTGTAACCCTGTGTGGGTTTGCAGGTTGGAATCCCTTGCGGGGATAGTTATGTGCGAGAGGATTGCTGGAATTCTTGCCGTCTTACGGTTTTTCACGTAACAGCTGGTCGCTTACGGCTTTCTCCACCGTCAAGTCCATGTTTTCGAAAACTAGTAACTGACTAAAAAATCTCATACTCGAAATGGACTGGTAACCGGACGAGATGAACTCTAATTACTTTGCAGTTCTTACTGGATAAACTTCGCGTATTTGAACCACTTGGCCAATGGATAAAAAATATCAGAATGATGTATTTTGTTGAAAAATATGTTTCGTCATTGACAGGTTAACCAGGATGCTTGCAAACATTATGAGGATATTATGAAAAGTGGTGAAAGTATGATAAATGCAGCCAACAAATCATTATTAAAACAGACAAAGAGAAAAAAGGAAATTACTTTTTTGAATTCTTTGTCCTGGGATAGAAAAGAAGTTGTGTAGCTACCTGATAAATCTCTTTGTAAGTTCATCTACTTCTTGGGAAATTTTGCTTAAAGATCTGTATGCCTTAGTAGAGTGTTTACGAAGTAGAGAAGTTTAAGATGCCTAATTACATTGTTTTTCTCACACTGGTGGCAAGCGTATCCCTGATACTTGATGCATAATAGCATGATGCGCTAAAAGCTGAGCATTTGCACAAATTTTGAGCACTGGTAAATAAAATTTATTTGAAGTACTATATTCCCGTTTTAAGTGGGATGTATGCAGTACTTGCAGTACTGCAGGTAAATCATAAAATAATTAATGCCGACAATTTTCAAAACAATTTAATTTGCTACACTGAATAAATATTTTCACTTTTTATTTCAGCTTTTATCTTCTGTCCTAGTTTGAGTATGACATCTATTCATATCTGTGAAACAAGTCCAGTCATTGTGGAACCGCAGGTAATTTATTAAACTGTATTGAAAAAAGGAACACAAAGTTTAAAAACGGGTACTTTTGAATTAGTCAGGTTGTAATACCATAGCTCAATTGGTTTGCAAACTTGCCAGCTCATTGGTTATTACCCTACCCTGTGGGTTCTAATGCTGTGGGGGATAATTGTGTGTGACAGGATTGCAAGCCGTCATAGGGGTTCACATCCGCTAGTGGAATACGACTTTCTTCACCATCAAGTCATGCATTTGAAGCGAAAAATTGACTAATATTCCAATACCTGACATAGACTGTAACAGGGCAAGAGGCTGTGGCCATATGGATAAATAGTCTTATCACTTTCCTATCCCCGAGATAAATATGAAAATCCTATGGATTGAATTTGAGCAATGTTTTTAATCATTTACTTAGAAAAATGGTATGATATCATTACGGAACAGCAAGCTCAGATGTACTTTTGATAATGGTGGTCGATTAGTCAGTTTACAATTGAACAATGCAGAAAGTAGCAAGGAATTGGTAAAGTTTTCTCACTTTGGAAATCAATTGGTTTTATTTGATGATGTTCCATTGTTTTGGGATGCATGGGATGTTATGGATTATCATTTAGAAACAAGGTAATTCTATAATTTTTTGCATGTATAGATAGATTAATACAAGAGCAGACCTCATATCCTATATACTACATGACAATTGCAAGAGTCAAGTGTGAAACTGTTAGCTTAGCCATGTGTAATAACAGATCAGACTTCATATTTAACGCATTTTAATTTAAAATGTTTTGCTGAATAACCATGCATATTACATAGTCAAATCCATGCATCTTGAACGCAGAACTGGTGACTATTCCCACATCTGACATGTACTGGTAACTATAGGAAAAGCTGTGGTACACTTAACGATTAACAGTTTTTCCTTTGTTTCACTGGGATAAATAGGAAATTTTATTCATTTGGTATATGTATACAGTGTGTCCAAACAATTTCACCCAGTTTTATAGTAATAACAATTGTAAGTTTAACTGAATTTTATTGTATGATAAATGAGAGCTAGGAGCACAATAGGAACTATTAATAAACGAAGACAAAGATATTATTACCGTACTATAAATTTGGGTGAAAATTTTTGGACCTCTTGTATATTCCTTGTAATGAGGAAAAACTATGCTGTGAAGAAGAGTAGTTGCAATTTAGTTCTTCACATGTTCAAGTCAAACAATGTTGCATGGCAATCAATATGTAAATGATTAATATATTTGATACATTTTTGATTCATGAACATTATTACATTACAATATATAACAAACTTTGAACATACCCGCCGGTATCAACAAAGTTTTAGGCCATTTTTAATGAAAAAATGAATTACAGGTCACCTGTACTTGATGTTATTGAACCACTACATGTAGGTGAAAAATCATGTGAACTGCGTGGAATTCTAGAATTTTCTGTACGAATTGGCGACAATAGCAAATTGAAACAAACTATAGAACTGGATGCTGATTCTCCTGTCATCAGGTTTAAGACATTTGTAAGTATCAAGATACTTTATCACACTTGGTCATATGGCAAACTATCCTTTTTTGGTTAATTGGTCATTAATGGAGGTAACAAGTTGTAACCGCTTGATGGAGACTGCTGGGGGAAGCAACTGACTATCAATTGAGTTAGCAATCTAGCGACGGAAAGAGTCGGCGATATTTTTGCCCATTTTTATCCCAGCAACGGACAGAGTACAGAGACATTTTTTGCACATTTCTATCCCTAACAGAGTTCAAACCTGACTCATTGGACAGGTATCAGTGGTGCAATGACAAGTATTTATTTTGGTATTGAGACAGTATGCTCATTTTATTTCAAGTTTTCAAGAGAGATGTTGAAGATGCCTATTAATTACATTGTTTTTCCTACACTGGTCATGTTCTACACTTATTCAGCAATATGATGTCATTTCCAAGTTTTGAAGTGTCTATTTGGCCTGAATATATATCACATCTTTGATGAAAGCAAAGAATTCAAAACTACTGAACACAACCATTTTTCATCTTGTATAATATTTTGCAATCATAGGTTGACTGGCAAGAAAATCATAAATTTTTGAAGGTTGAATTTCCATGGAATATTCATTCTGCAAAAGCAACTTACGAAGTACAATTTGGACATTTGGAACGACCAAACCATCAAAACACTTCATGGGATAGTGCCAGGTATTTTAGTTTGACTATCATTGAATTAGAACTGTTTGTAATTTATGGAACCTGGAGAATAGTGATTATATTTCTCTATTTTACCTATTTATGATAAGGCGTTCTCATGCCTTCACTCTTGTCAAGGTCCTGCAAGAGCAGTCACTACTGATATGGAAAGACGTACTATTGAAGCTGGGATTTTTCAGTGCTAGGTTATTTGGTAGGCATAGGCTATGATTCTGATATTTTTCACCTGCTATGTCAACATACTTGGGTCCAACACTCATTCTACGAAAACAAGATTTCTCAAACGTAAAAAGCTACTTAGTGGTTTTCTTGGGATTTGCAGGCAAAGGTGTTTACTAAGTAGGAATTGTGATGACCACATTAAATAAAAGTTAATGAGCTGTGAATTGTTTATAATACACCTTTTTACTTTCGTTTTTAGTCTTTTGTTTTAAATGTCTCAAATAAAACAACTGATCAAACCTGTTATAAACAAAATTAAGTTTTTTGTTATTGAAGAGACCATGGTGTGTCGAGAATCTTAAGAAAGTTTAGAAACCACTGCACTAGCTCATTGCTGCTACCAAATCTTTAATGATGTGTTTACTTATTTTTATCAGGTTTGAAGTTTGGGCTCACAAATGGGCAGATTTATCAGAATATAATTGTGGTGTTGCAATACTCAATGATTGTAAATATGGATATTCAACTTTTGGAAGTACCATGAGATTATCACTGTAAGTGTAATATGTTGGCCATACAATTATTTGTTTAGTGTCAATCAACCTTGTTTTAGAAAACGTAGACTTATACTGTTTTCACAGATTGAGGTCGCCAAAAGCACCTGATGATAATGCAGATATGGGTGAACATGAATTTACATATGCAGTCATGCCTCATTCGAGTGAGATCATTTATCATATGAATGTTACTTTGTGATTAGAAATTAATTCATCTCTTTGAATACATTTGTGTGTGCTTTTTTTGGCGCTCCTGAAGTGTGTGTATCAATATGGAGGTAACAAATTTTATTCGCCCACTTTACATCAAGTTCTGTAAGCGGACTGAAACCTATGGACAAGGGGTATATTCACTTGGCTAACACAGACATTCCACGAACTTGTAATAGAACTAAAATAAGGAAAATCGGAATAAAATTATGGCCTAACCCACACCCACTACGGGAGTCCCCCCCTTTTTTTTTTAAATGTGTTCACGCATACTTAAGATATAAAGAATAACTGTATGTACAAAATAATGATTGCATTGAAGCATCCAAAAACATAATAATTATTATTCAAAACATCTTAGATTACTGGAACTTCTGGGTACAGCCATACACACGTAAATGAATTTTTTTCATTACTGTGGAATGAATTAAGAAATTACAGAACACCTGTGTTAAGGCATTGCGCATTTTTGACTTATTGATTTTAATACAATTAAATGGGTTGCTGCAGAAAGTTTACAGGAATCAGGTGTCATAAAACAAGCATTTCAACTCAATAACCCGTTGCGAGCATTCGAAGGAAAAGTTGAAAATGACTTGAAATTGGCAAATCTGAACACTGATGCAGTAATATTGGACACATGTAAAAAATCAGATGTTCATAAGTGAGTTGCCTTTGCGTAAGTGTTTATTAAAGTTGAGGCACATTCTCAACAGCAAAGAAATGCTTCATTTGGAGCAGAGTGCAGTAATAAGTTGCTTGCAGTGATGGAGTGACGAAATTCACATAAATTCGACTGGAAACTATAATCTATGCAAGGAGGGATTCTCATATTCATCCTTGGAATGAAGAAAGCCCATAAGAAGGCTTGTCAAACGACGAACCACGGCTTCTTGTCCAGTTACTAGTTCATGTGGGGTATAGAAATTGTTAACAAGTTATTTCTTTTGATTGAACTTGATGCTGAAGAAAGTCATGACCGACAGGCTTCTACGTAAACCACCCTACAACGTCAGCCAACAATACTATTGCACATTATTATCCTGGACATAGTATGTACCTGCCAAGCCGCGCATGGTAACGAAACTTGTTCCAAATGCTTAGCACGATGTACCCTCGACCTATTCAAATCTATTCAACTAATGTTGTTGTGTTTCTTGCAATTTTGCATTTTCCTATCCTTTGCTCTTTTGAAAAGTTATGCTTCCTAAATTAAATTCAGGGATGCTATACTACTGAGACTTTATGAAGCATTTGGGAGTTCAACTGAGTGTGAAATAACACTTTCCAATTCATGTATTAAAAAAGTTGAAAGGTATGTACACACTGACACATATATAATGGGATTTTAAAAATAAGTTTCGAATATTTACACTCATCCGTAGGTATCTTTCTTTATCTATTATCTTATTTTTGTTTAGGTGCAATATACTAGAAGAACCCAAAGAATCATGCGATATTGAAATCAATGAAAATCATAGCTTTACTTCTTCTTTTTCACCATTTCAAATTCAATCTTTTCTTGTTTGGTTGGGTTGAACCCCATCAGATTATTAATGTGTCAATGAAATATAATTGTCTGTAATAATTGCTATTGTCATTTTGCCAAGTATACTTTTATTCCTTGGGACAGATCTTAACAATTTCTCAATGATATTATTTTGCCACATGAACTTTACGGTATAAGCCATCAAGTCAATTTTATCAGGTCTCTCAAAATGCCAGCATTTATCTCACTGAAGTATGATACTCCATATATCCATTCATTCAGTGTTGATATTGATTGCAATGCTTTGCTTTTGAAACACATTGTTAGAAGCACTGGCATCATTTATTAATTTGAATTTGCCTAATGCTTTGGTGCCATATGTGTGTACACTGCACACTGTATTAGTGACAACTCTGACATCCTGTTGATATATTTAAACGTACTGTTACTGGAATATATAAGACAATAATTCCACTGCATACCATCATAATTCTCTGGTGATAGTCTAATAAAAGTGGTATCTTCAGAAGCCATTTTTTACTATCTGTCTACATATAGTTCGAAGTTATTTTTACATAGTGTAGACCAGTGGTTCCCAAACTGGGGGTGATTACCCCGAAACGGGTAATTTATCAATTTCAGGGTGTATTCCAGACAATCATTGTTTCAATAATTTCGTTTTTAATACTTTTGACTAGTCTGTGGAAAAGCTAAACATTCAATGATTGTATCTAATCAGTGAGCCTAGTTACGCACTTCCGTGGGAGCATGATAACAATACTCCAGCGTACAGATTTTCAGGCTGAAATGCTGGTGCAAGTTTAGCATCTTAAAATCGGATGGTGCAATAGGTGGGTGTTAATATTATAGCCATCGTTGATCAAAGAAAAGTGATAAAGATATGACTACTGTATTACATTGAGTATTGTAACACCACAATTATATTCTGATAAATCTGCCCGAACTTCAGACCTGATAAAAATCAGAAAACACATCATTAAATATTTGGTGGCAGCAATCGGATAGTGTAGTTGTAGTGGTTCCCAAATTTTCTGAAGATTCTAAACAATCTGCGGTCTCCCAGATAATAAACCTAGTTTTGTTTTTGACATGGACGACAAGTTGTTTGTAGAATTAAACAATTCACAGTTAATTTACTTTTATTTAATGTGGTCGTCACAATCCCTAACTAGTTAAAGCCTTTGCTCGCTACCCCCAGAAAACCACTATTAAGTTTTAGAAATTGTGGCCAAGTAGACGAAGTTTTGGACTAAAGTATGTTGACATAGCAGGTAAAAGATATCTGAATCATAGTCGATAGACTCTAGTCTATGGCATACCAAATAACGTAGTACTGATAGATCCCAGCCTAAATAGTAGCTCATTTTGTATCAGTGACTGCTCTTGCAGGATCTTGACAAGAGTGAAGGCATGAAAACGCCTCATCATAAACAGGTGAAATATAATTACTATTCTCCATGTTCCATAAATGACAGACACTTCTAATTCAAATTTAGTCAAGGAAAAATACCGGGCACTACCGTATCCCATGAAGTGTTTCGATGGTTTGGCCGTTCCAGATGTCCAAATTGTACTTCGTAAGTTGCTTGGGCAGAATGAATATTCCATGGAATTTCAACCTTCAAAACTTCAATGATTTTCTTGCCAGTCAACCTACAATTGCAAAATATTATACAAAATGAAAAATTGTTGCGTTCAGTAGTTTTCAAATTGTTGCTTTCATCGCAGATATGATATATATTTTGGCCAAATACACACTTAAAAAATTGGAAATGACATTAAAAACTGAATATGTGCGAATTACAATTATTTATGTTTTCACAAACTCGTAGATTGTGTAAAAAGGTATATTATAGGCTACGTGACGTTTCTGTTTCTAGCGTCATGGAATGCGACGTTCTGACACTCTTGCGTGACTTTTTCAGCATATGTTTTAATAAATATTGAGGTTGCTTATAAACGATGTCTTCCACAGTGGAATTTATTTTTAGTGACAAATTGTGTTAATAACAAAATCTATTAACTTCTCACCTCGATAGGGAAGGATATGAAAAAACACAAGGTGGTAAATGCTTTCGCAAAAATAGGCCTACTTCACATAAACTCTAAACATATTATACCCAAGCAGCAGGTATTGCTTTGTGAAGTTTGAGTCATAAAAGCAACTGGATAGTAATCAGCCTCGCTAGAAACTAGGCCTAACATAAACAGTTATATATAGTCGAATATACCCATTTGCACTTGATTTCGTAAGTCATATTCAAATAATGCTGTACTTTAAATAACCCCAATGTTAGAATAAGCAACATCTGTTGTGCGCGCAATATTTATATATATATATATGATTGAAATATAAAACTGTCATAAGTAGAAGTCGTTGTGTGGTATGACATTTGATGATCTTTGAAAAGCAAATTAGTTCAAGAATTTGATCAAACTATTCTAGTTTCAAGCCAAAGACTTTTTGCTCAAACTACCCTACCTGAAGTGAAGCACAACGCAGCTAATGAGTGGAAAGACTTGAAACAAGTTTCATATTATTATAGACTACCACTTGCTACCGTTTCAATAACGTTGTAACCACAGGTCAAATATGGTTAAATTGATTGCCTATTTAAGCTTGGGGAATGTAAAAAAATACTTGGATTTCTGAATAAGGCCTGTGATCTGTAAATGTGTTTTGAATAACTAATTATACGTTTTTTATGTTTTAATGCATTAATTTTGAAATTATATATTTATACCATGGGGATATTCTTCAAACTCTTGTTGCTAACAACAGTGTTGGCATTTACACTAGAGCAGGGGTCTCAAACTCAATTTACCTGGGGGCCGCCGAAAACGAAGCCTTATAGTGAGTCCGGGCCGCATCGGGTTTTTCACAATAAAATCATTAAACTTAAAAAGTTAAATCTTTTTCTCTGTTTTTTCTATACGCAAAACATGTCAAAAACATAAATGAAAGTAATATCGCGTTGGACCTTTCCCCGAGCATCTACTTCCTTGTTTATTCCGTAACATGGGTAATCAGCAAGACGCAAAAAGTGACGTAACAATAGGCTTTTTCGCAAACGCTTAGACACTTAACACTCAGAAAGATTTTCAGGCATGTTTGTAAACATTACCTCGTTTTTGCATGCTATTTGTTAGTTTTGGGTTGTGTTTCAGAAATTCAAGTTTGAATCAAAGAACTCAATGATCATTCTGATTGCTTGGGCGTCGTAGCTTAATTGCCGTAATCAAAAATTAGTCTAGAAATAGCTGTGATATCCTAGGTTAAACTTCTCTACCGGTACTGTTGAAAAACAGGTTGTTGAATGTTTTGAATCAAAATGATGACGTGAAACATATACCTCAGTTTATAGGCTTCAACTCGCGAAGCCACCTCTAAAATAAGTAAGAATTTGCAATGGTGAAGTATAAGAAATTTTTCTTCGGGGTCAAAGGTCCATCGAATATCATGCCTACAGGTACGGTACTAGTAGGTTGCCGTACCGCATATTCCTTTCGGGGGATAGATTATAAAATATTTTGTTTTGCTCTACTTGTCCTGATCATATATTAAATGCATCAATCATTCTAACTGAGCTGAGTGACTTACGGGCCGCACTAACATTAAACTTTCATACCAAGGCTGGGGCCGCTATCTATTGTCCTGCGGACCGCAATTGGCTCGCGGGCCGTGAGTTTGAGACCCCTGCACTAGAGCATACCAGTGCGCGTCCATCAAGGCTTGTGCGATTTATTCTCTATTAAAATTATTATTATGCTTGTTAGGATAATTCTTTATAAATACATATATATTTCATTTGAAAAATCTCGAATAATGAAATTAAATTGAAAGAAATTTCATACGACTCACTTCTTTAACTACGGACAAATGACCCATTGGGCGATAAAAACTACTTATTACTCAACGTGTTCTTTTGTTGCCGTATTAGTTATGACCATTGAATTGTGGGATTATGATGTGCAAGGAGTGCGGGACTAAGTCTCATGTTTCATCAATCAAACCGGTTGCCACGTTAAACGTAGCTTACTTCGCACCCGGTAGTGACGAGGGGTTATAGCACACAATATTATATATAGTCGTATCCATTTCATGGTATCCTTTCTTACATTTTAGCTCCATATTGGAAGCCGACTTATATCTTATATTTTATTTGCAGCTTTAATACAGAAGAACCATACCAAAACTTCGATTGCAAAAAAGTTCAAAAAACAAGTAAAAATCGTTTTGAATTGTACTAAATACTGTGAATGGAATCATTACATCTAGGGATACTTAGGAAGATGCAAGTTTGAAGGCAATAAAGGTAAAAAAAAATGTCAATACAACAAATTTTAAAAATGAGATACTCAGTGCATCAAATGAAAAAAAAAAAAGATCAAGAAAAGGGTTTATCAAATAGAAAACACTTTATTATAAAAAGGGATTTCTAAGATTCCATCTATGTTTACTTGAATATTTTTATATTTAATAAAATTTTGAATTCAAAGATTTAATGTGTTTTTCTTAATCGAGATCGATGTCATATTTTTGACATTTTTATATGAAAGATGAGCAAGGCGTCCTAACCATCGAGTTATTAAGTAATGTCCAAGAGTTGCAATGTGACTTTCCACTTTGTTCTGAGTGTATAAAAAAGTTCATTAATTCTTTTGCAGAATTATGTAAATTTTGTCGAAGACTTGGATGCAAGTCATGAACTATACTTGATGACGAATCATGGACAGATGATGACGAATCTTTACTTTATTAAATTAACATTCCACATAAAAATTTCTTCAAGTATGAAGAATGGTAAAATTTAGAACAATAAATCATCTGGTTATTTATTTTTTTTTCTGTAGCGGAAGTCGAAAGTCTATTAGCTTCATAATATCAGTGGATGCACACTTTACACTTCCCTATATGAATGTCGTTTATCAACATTTAGATATAATGCCTATACTCCATTTTGAACACAGATAAAATGCAACGATCAATAAATCGAGCACGAAATGAAGTATTTAGGCAATGTATCTATAGAGTAAAAAGACCGAAAAACCTGACGCGGAATTCGTGGTTATGTACTAAATATTAAAATCACGATTATAATGGTGTTTTGTCTTACATGAAGCATAATTGCACATGAATTAAAAAACTAAAAATCACTTTTTATAACGTAGTTTACTTTGGTGGAATGTTATCGAAACTGCAGCCAGATTTCAACATCATGTTGAGTGTGCGGTAAGTAAGGCTTAAGCTTTATGGAAATCATTTTATTTCAGGGAAACACAAAACGTCGATGCGTAATAGAATTACCAATATTGATATACATACAGTAAAAATATAAGTTTCACTTTGAAAACGCAATTATGCTTTTAATTGTATTTCACTGTACTTTGAAACAGTGCTCTAACTAAATCTAAATTACAATTGATACAATTTTGTTTTAAATGAAATTCCTCCTAATATACCTAACACAAGTCAAGATAATGTACATAAAGTGAATTCATGAAGTGCATCTGTTCTTCCGCAATTAAAAAAAAAACAGAAACAAAAATCCCAAATTAAATAGCAACGTAGGTATAAAAATAAGGAGCTGTGTAGAAGAAAAAAAAATTCAACTACTTTTGAGTTTTGTCAAGCAAGGTACATGTTATCGATTTAAGATAAGCTCAGGACAGGGGTCACCAACACGTTGCCCGATAAGACCATATGTGTTGCCCGCAGGTCTGTTCCAAAATAAGCCCAATAACCGCGCTTATGAGTAAGCAAATATCAATTATTTTTAGTCATGCTATTCTTGTATAAATCACACTTATATGGGAACTGAGAATGACATTATATTATTTATTGTAACGATCAACCTGATTTGTATTTGACCTCAGTCATGTGACGGGTCATTTAATACGGTTACAATTATGACATCACTTTCACGAACTCGCGTTTTTTCTCAACCGTTGGTTTGTGAAGCAGCAATAATTTATGAAACAAAGTCAATAATCTTGAAAAGTGGGGGGCCGGAAAACGCGTGTTTTTATGAGTCTTGTGGGTCTAAAAAGATGTATGAAACAGAAAAATGTATAATACAGAAAGATGCTTTTATTTTTTTTACATTTCAAAAAAAGGGGGGGGGGTCGACCCCAAAAATCACCCGCCTGACGACAGCCCTGCTCATATATATCACGGGATTCGTCAAATCTTTCGTTTGATTTCTGCTATGTCGGAAAAGGATTTTCTTTTAGTTTAAGTACTTCGTTGGCTTCCTAGGGTTGTAGAGAATGTAGGTGGGGCCGATGAGTTGCTTAAAAAACATAACTATAATACAGACACCAATGCAAAAAACTGTTGAAAAAATTATAGAAGACACGACTATCGTAACCTCGTAGTGAGCTTGTTCATAAAAGTAAGACCCCATGACAAATAATGCAAAAATCAATATAACTCCTGATAAATACAAAGCTTGTTTAGTGGGGGACGGGTTAACAAAGACCTTAGTATATGACTTGTTTGTGTCGGCTTTCGGAGCAGCTGCGCGTCTCGTTGGAACTTTCGATTCGATGACAAGAAAAATAAATATAAAAAGCCAAGAAAGAAGAAATTCCATGTACTCCTGCGCTGGGATAAACAACATTTCGTACATACGACTGAATCCGCTTTTGGTAGGATCGATGGGCACAACCACAGTGCCACACAAAGCAGCAACAATACCGAGGTACAATATTGGAGGCACAATTCGAACCCATGCAGGAATTTTTCTCCAAAATGGCAAACTGAATATCTAGAAAAAAACATATTTTTATGTAATGTTTTTAGTTACACCACATATAGTATATCAAGTAATTTAGTGATGCTTTTTGTGGATTAAATTTATAGGTAATGAGTGGCCAATAATATCGTTGTTCGGTATAATTTACAAAGGGATTACAATAAGTTATTACTGCAAAAGAATATGAATCAACTTCTGAAATATTACCTTTCATGGTGTATAACTGAGAAATTAAATATAAAATGACGAGTACAATCTAACCTGTGTGAATGCTAATAGAAAACCAAACCCAAATCCAAACACGGGCCATAAATTTCCATAACCCTGTTCTGGATTTCCCGTCTGCACAGCTACCACTATAGAATGTATCAGCACCCAAGTTTCGTTTAGAAGCCGCCAATATCTACAATTCAAAAGCAGAACTATTAAAAAGAAATTACAGAGGTCTTAGAACTTTTTTCCGTGTTCAACCCGTGGGTGAATCTATGTACGCCGGGCCTGGAATAGCAATTGAAGTAATAATCAATATAATACAATTCTTGACTGGTTTATTCACCACTCTTTAGACGAATATTTTGTCTACCTTATCTTTATTTGAATCAAGTACATAGATTTATTTTTAACAACTACATGATTCTTATCGTCATAGAGCAAGGCATTCTTACAAATGAGAAATGGCCGACTACTATTTCCAAAACCATCAATTTATTTTCCCTTTAAAACGGCTAATCATTCACTTTACAATGTGAAAAGTATAAATTAGAGTCATGACATGCAATTGAGTACATAGCTAATTTAATTCAATGGATTTTTATATATATACACCATTCTAGACCTGGTAAACAGAATTTATAAATACCTGTTCAAGTGAATTTCGGTGAAAACTAGACTTCCTTGAAGCAGAACGATAGCAGTATGAAAAAATCCTAAAGTATGACCCCATGTATTTTCCATTGGATGGTACCAGAAAGTATAGATTGATGACCAAGCGAAAGCATAACCGTGGTATCTGAAACAGTTATGAATAGAAGTAAATATACGGTATCAATTGACATTTGTATGACTTTCCATATAGAGGAATATAGATAGCAGGTTTGATTTTCAGAGCAGATGTGTATTGCTCATTACCTTCAGGTGTTGTAAAAAATCTGATTAGAAGTACCTGGTGTACAAATAAATGCTGAAAGCGACTTGTGTAAAACTCCCAAAACAAAAAGTGAGCGACGGTCATAGTGATCAAAGTATTGGAAACGCAAATACAACCAAAAAGTGAGAAAAAGTGAAGAGCGTTAAGGCGGAACAGTGGAGAAACGTACAGGCCGCCGTTGGAGTAAGGCAGAAACTCGGCGTAAGCGGCGTTCACAGTTTAACATTTAAGAAATTATAGTCAATAGTCATTATCTATGAATTTCATAAACTACCGATCAGGAGTTGTATCGAATATACAGACAGTTGTTACATAATTCTCAATATAAACTGCTTCTGTCTACTTGCGAATTAATGTTGTTGGTCCAGGATGAAGCCTCAGTTTGTTTGCTGCAAAATCATCGGACGTTGAATTTGGCCACATCAATATGATTCCTCTATCCTTGTATTCCATTAGAAGAACAAACACCAACAGCATAATTACGGATGACTGTAATAAAACGATAACGGGATATTCACAAGCAAAATCGTTTCATTTATTCGTTCCGGCAGCTAAACTCCGGTGCTGAATGTACAATGCAATGCTCTTGCCAGAATCAGTGTTTGAACACTTATTAAGTTTATTTCATTTTCAACAAGTTTTTCGGGCCTCTACTTGAAACGTTTCTGCAATGTTGAACTTGTGTGATTATTTATCATGAATGTAATATCTTTATTCTGTCTACGCATTGAAAATGTATTTTTATGTAAGCGAAAAGATCCGAAGGCGATAAAATACCTTCTAAAGTTTTAGTTACAGAAAAAAAAAATTTGGTTTCATTATGGTTTGATCAAGATCTGATTGTTATAGACGTAGATTAATCAATAGCATCTAGTAGGTTTTATAAATCAATTTTCGTTCTTCTATGAGAGAGAAAACAACACATACAAGGCCGGTATTTTAACAGCTTTCTAACTATTTTTTTTTATTTCTTCTCGTGCTTCAAAATTTAGACACTCTTTACAAGACAAGATTATGAAAATTGTTTTCATGTGATCAATCAGTCAGTAAAACTAAAAATCACTTCAATCATCTTGACGATTTGGCTACTAGATTTATTGGCTTGGAGCGCAGTCATTTATCCTACCTGTGATGTCGACACAGCCACCTGCTGTGCTAATCCATCATATGTTGTGTGAGTTTGTATTAAATGTAGAATATGAAATAATGCATTCACTGCCAACATGGACCAGTTAAACCATCGTAGATTAGAACTGTAAAGTATGAATAAATAATAAGTGACAATGTTCAGAAATTTAATACATATCGTGTACAAATAGTTACTTACTAAATTACTTAAATATGGATATTATATATAGTAAATATGTGTGTGGTAGTGGACAATATACTGATTTCCCTAATTTGTTTGCACAAAAAATACATAAATGATAGTAGTATCATCTGACTAAATCCGAAGATTTGAAACTATTGCTGGAATTAAACTTAATATTAAATGGCCCGAATGCACGAGCAAGGACCTTGTGTCCATGATTTGTATGTGGTGTTAATTTAAAATGTCAGTGTAAGGAATTATCATGAAAGCATGATGTGATGATGATTTAAATGTTGCAACGTATTTAGGGTTCATAGAAATTTCAGATCTATTTCCAATTTTATTTCCGTTTTTTGCCAAACTTCATATTGATCAAATGATATTTAACGAAACTATAAATTCACAGTTTGTGTTAGTAAAATACCTGTATTTCTTTTGTTTTCCTTCAACTTTATTTCTATTCACTGTCAACTGAGATCTGTAAATAAGTCCCCATACAAATATTTGGTGAAGAGAATACAAAAGCCAAACAACTGCTTTTGTAGTTGCTGTTGATTCGTTTGGAGGTAATTTCCAGTAATACCAATTCTGTTGACAATACTGACCACTTCTACCTAAAACGTTGGTATATGTGTAACATTGTTTAGTTGTAATTTTATCTCAATAGCTTTTGAAATTGAGCGGTAGTGCCAAAAATGTTTATTGAAAGTTCTATTGAAAAAAAGAATCCATCGTAAATACTTAATTTTAGTATTTACAGTTTTTTGCGTCGTTGGTCACTTCTTAGTGGAAAGTTGAGTTGGACTGTTTGATTAACTTCTGTGATTTGGAATATTAGTCAGAAATTATTTTCAGCATTCAATCTAAGATCAGTAATGTAGAAAAACATGATAATACGCCAATACCAGGAAAACTTGTATCATTGCAGGCATTGTCAGGTTCAGGTAAAAGTCTCTGTTGAGAAGAGATAACTTCATAATGGAAATAACCAGAATTTGCTTTCCAATTCAACAATTCACCTAAATTGGTAAAGATAACTTAGAACAATGTAAATTATATTTTTATTATGTCATTATGGGCATATCAAGCAATTAAGAAAAATATCAAAGAAAAATACTACTTCGGTAGTGAGTTATATAGCAAATAAAGTGTAAGTTGATATTGTGATCAAAAAATTGTTGCCAAAATTAACTGAACTAATCAGTGCAAGTTAATTGAGTAACTAAACCTGACACAGTATAATTTTATTGCAGAGCGGGACACACTTCGATTGAAAAGTCAACTGACTGGCGTATCGAAAGAAACATTATTTACGATTCCAGTGCACAGGTAAAAAATTTAAGAGTAAGATCGTGCATGAACAAAGTCGATGACCGACTTTAAATGTTTTGTTTGAAACGAAGTGACTCAATATAGTACAACATTTCGATTTTGTAGACAAATTTTACAATTTCTCGTGTATATAAAGCAAAAGTTATATATATACCTGCTATTAAATCACAATAAGGACAAAGCATTGTCGCCAATAGGAACTTCCGATACTTCTTTTTAATAAATTCAACGCATTTACAGGAGGTGGAATTACCGACACACACCGGGGTTGTAAAAACAACTACTTTGATATTTTCATTCTCACCATTGGTTTCGTGTCATCTATACGTGCAATATGACTATGCGACACATCTATTGCTCTTGATTCGTGACCCAAACTATCTGAATAATTCTAGCTCAATTATGATATTAAATGAAATAAAACATATATATCCTTACCCCACATCCACATCGTTCCGAGAAAAAAAATTATAAATAGTAATCCACCACCTAGTGCAAACGCATCCTGTTTCATAATTTCTCTGCGTAGGTTTCTGTTATCAACTAGTATTTAACGCAACTGAAATTACAATTGCCGTTTCTCAAGATGAACATGGAGTACACACTACATACACTAACTGAATTTTTAACTTGTGAATTGCTTTGTAATTACACAAAAGTAGGTGATCTGTTGCTTGTAAAAATGGGATTAAAGTGAGACCTGAATATAAAAGAAAACAATGATAATATTCGCATGTCCATTCTTCTCATACAAAGAGTTTTACAATGTTAACAAACGACTAAACCAAGCAGGTATTCTAATTAAATTTTTAGATAAATTCAAGCCTGACATCTCCAATAGTTGTTGGAATTAACGGAATGAGTGGGCATCCATGGAAAATATTATTACAACGATATGGGAAATTCAAACCAACGAAATTCAAGGAGGTGTAGGGTCTTACTACAGATTGTATATTCTGTATATTATATATTTTAAATGATTTAAGAACAGATAATGTAAGCTTCAACTCAGTAACACCTGTATAGCATTATGAAACATTCAATGACGAATCAGCGTTTTTGTATTGCTCGTTACATAACCTGTGGAGTTGACAAGTCATGATTAGGCATATCGATTACTGCAGGAAGTGGCGTTGCGCTAACCAACTTTGTCTGTAAATGAGTGGTGCCTCATCAAGCACATAATTTCAAACAACATCTTTTCAATTTTATTTATAACGATTATAAGTCGAGCATATTCAGTATTAGTAATTGAATTAAAATTGGATAGCTTTATTATTTCGATAAATTATAATTAAATTAGTTTTCGACAAGCAAGTGGATGTGTTATGACTGAGGATGCTGAGTATGACTAATTATAAGTATTTGATTCTTATCAGATTCCCCCCTAAATAATACCAGAGGAAATCAAGCAAGAGAGCAATACCGAAATATTATTTGGTCACGAAAGCCAAAACTGAGTAGTATGTGTATTTAGTAGTCACAGTAGACAAAATCGGGCAAAAACGAATCGCTTGGGCCTTAGAGTCCACGAGAATTTGAAATAATAATAAACGCAATAGACTTACGACAAAAAAATACAATTTTTAACCACTAAAAACATGAAGAAATGTTAACATAAAGAAATGTTGTGCCGCAGCTCGAAAATTTGACCCGCTCGAACGAAGCAAGATCAAGAAAGAAAAGTTCTGGAGCAAGTATTCTAATCCTCTGGAACGTGGCTACAAATAGCGTGCAAGATGGTAAAAAGGAGTTTTATGACGCGATTTTAAGACTCATCGGAATCGATTCCACGAAGAATCGGTTCCGCCATCCCTAGTTAAGACCTCAGGCAGTTGACACCTTATATGGCTGAGGTCATACCTAGATTGATATCCTGCGACTTATATATTCCTAAATCGAAAATTGATCTCAAACCCCTAGCAAACATTACTCATCTGATTCCGTAAAAACAGCGCAGAAGCATCACAAGTTGCACAATAAACTTTTTAAACGAAATACATACCCCAAGATAATTCAGACTAGAATAGCAATTATATGTAAATGGCAGCAAATATAGCGAATCGGACATATGCTTATTTTCAATTCTCAGCAAAATTGAATGAGTCAGATTTGAGATTCCGCTTGACAGTGCACGCAATTTCCTCAACTATATGTATATTCATACTGCTCATAAAAAGGCTAGATATATTATAACATTCTCAATCTAGATTTGCTAGTTTTTAAATTCATTGCCCAAATGCCTGTACCTTTCTGCTGAACGTTGGAAGAATTAGAATATTTAAACTCGCTAGGTTACAGTTTTCCCAAACTCTATTGTTACGTAAGTTCTGTTACGTAAGCTCTGTAACGTAAAATACCGGTACTGTGAAGAAAGCGCATAGATTTCACTGACATTGACAGATCAATTATTGCAGAATACAACTTTCAATTGCTTGCGCATATATGCTTGGTTATTGTAATCGAGTTCGAGGCCTAATACACCTACACTCTATGTAATTTAAAAAAAAAACACTGATTTAATTCTGTTTAAAAAATTACTGCTTTTTCTTACTTACATCATGCCATGTCATGACAATATCTTCCCATTATCAAGTGATACAGCACTTCGCATTTAGTGAAGCATCAGATATTTATTTATTTGAAGTTTCTATTGTGATTGATGTTAAATGTTGATTTTTATTATATTTTTTTCTTTTTAAATTCGTTCAGAAAACATCGCTGTTTTAACATTATAACATTATAGGTATTCAAAAATATAAACACAGACTGATCAATAGAACGTTGCAATAAATATAAAAGTTTTAAAATTCAGCTGTCATAATTCTAAAATTGAGGAAAAGTATATTATGATATTTTTCATCAACTTACCCATAACTGGTCGCTGTGGAAGGTGTTAATCAAAATAAATATTTGTAATTTCTGGTAACTATATTTTATATGAAAGTTCGATATCAATGTTGTATATATATGCACAAATACAATGTTTTCACGCCTTTTCAGCTCTATCGTTTCGCTTTAGTGGACATGATGTAGGTAAGAAAAAGCAGTAATTTTTTAAACAGAATTCAAGCAACATTTATGGTCAACGTTACATAGAGTGTAGGTGTGTCAGGCCTCGAACTCTATTACAATAACCAAACTCATATACATGAGCAATAGAAAGTTTTGTTACGCATAAAATGCTATATCAATGCCAGTGAAATATGTGCGCTTTCTTCACAGTACCGATATTTTACGTTTCAGAGCTTACGTAACAGAACTTACGTAACAATAGAGTTTGAGAAAGCTGTAAGCTCGTGAGTTTAAATATCCTTATTCTTCCAACGTTCAGCAAAAAGGTAAAGGCATTTTGTTATAGTATATCTAGCCTTATTATGAGCAGTATGAAATTATATATAATTGAGGAAATTGAGGAAATTGCGGACACTGTCAAGCGGAATCTCAAGTCTGATTCATTCATTTCTGTTGGGACTGAAAACAAGCAAACCTCAGATTCGTTGCATCTACTGCCATATACTGATGCAGTACATAAAATTGCTATTATATCATTAATTTGGGTATGCAATTCGTTTAAAAAGTTTATTAATAACAGGGATGCTTCCGCGTTGTTCTGACAGAATCAAATGAGAAAGTCTGCTAGGGGCTCAAAGGTCGATTTTCGAAGGATGTACGAGTGGCAGGATCTCATTTAGGTATATATGACGCATATAAGCTGTCAACTGCCTGAGGTCATAGCACGTCCACTTGCTTGTCAAAAACTAAATTAATTATAATTTATTAAGATAATAAATCTATTTAATTTTTAATTTGATTACTAATACTGAATATGCTCGACTTATAATCCTGTTGGAAAGAAAAATTGAAAAGATATTGTTTGAAATTATGTGCTTGATGAGGCACCACTGGTTAGCGAAACGCCACTTCCTGCAGTAATCGATATGCCAAATCATGACTTGGCATTCCCACAGGTTATGTAACGAGCAATACAAGAATGCTGATTCATCATTGAATGTTTCATAATGTTATTCAGGTGTTACTGAGAGTTGAAGCTTACATTAGCTGTTCTTTTAAATCAGTTAAAATATCGACTGAGGAGTAAGCGCGCACAAACAGAGATATATAATACGTGTTATTTATCTGTGCAGACTCTACACATCCTTGAATTTCATCGGTTTGAATTACCCATATCGCTGTAATAACATTTTTCATGGATGCCCACTCATCCCGTTGATTCTAACAACTATAGGAGATGTCAGGCGTGAATTTGCCTAGAAATTAAATTAGAATATCTGCGTGGTTTGGTTGCTTGTTGACAATGTATAACTTTTCGTATGAGAAGAATGGACATGCGTCTATTATCATTGTTTTCCTTTACATCTAGGCCTTGCTTTAATCCTATTTTCAAAAGCAACAGATCATCTACTTTTATGTAATTAACAAAGAAATCAAGTTAAAAATTCAGTTGGCGTATGTAGTGTGTGCTTCCTTTTCAGCTTCAGAACCTAAAATTTTAATTTCGATTTCGGTAATAATTGTTGATATCAGAAGACTTACGCAGAGAAATTATGAAACAGGATGCGTTTGCACTAGGTGGTGGATTACTATTTATAATTTTTCTACTCGGAATGACGTGGATGTGGGGTAAGGATATATATGTTTTTGTTCTTTGGTATAATGTAATATTTCAGATAGTTTGGATCCCAATTTAGGAGCAAGTCGCATAATCGCATTGCACGAAACCCAAGGTAAAAATGAAATTATCGAAGAAGTTTCTTTTTATCCACCTTCTTAAATGGTGAGAATCTATTAGAAAGAAGGACGTTCTATTGGCAACAATGCTACTTTCTGTAATAAGATTTATAGCGACTACGAAGCTATGCTTTATATACATACATAAGGGATTGTAAAATCTGTCTACAAAATAGAGTAAAATATGTTGAACTGTAATTGAGCCACTCTGTGAAATTGCCAACAAAAAAGTAATATAAAAACATACCAAAAACGATGGTCATTGAACGTAATTCAGCGAGTTTGCTCATACCCTTAAAAATGTTGTGCACTGAACCGTGAATAATGTTACTTTCGATACACCAGTCGGTTGACTTTTATCGAAGTGTTTCTTGCTCTGCAATAAAATTATAATGTGTCAGGTATACTTAATTAACTTACACTGATCAGTTCAGTTGAGTTAATTTTGGCATCCATTTTTGATCACAATATCCAACTCACACTTTGTTTGTTATATAACTCACTACCGAAGTAGTATTTTTCTTTAATAATTTTCTTTATAGGTGATATCGATATGCCCAAAATACCAATTGCATTGTTCTAAGTTATCTTTAACAATTTAGGTGAATTGTTGAATTGGAAAGCGAATTCCGGTTATTTCCATTATGATGTCAACTCTTCTCAACAGAGACTTTTACCTGAACCTGACAACACCTGCAATGATACAAGTTTTCCTGGTACTGACGTATTATCATGTTTTTCTACATTATACTGCACTGAGGTTGAATGCTGAAAATAATATGCGAATATTATTTCGAATCACAGAAGTTGATATATGGACAAACTTCAATTTAATGTTGATAGGCAAAGCTAGACGTGTTTCGTCACATGTACGCTGATTAATTTTTGAGATGGAACAACGCGCCCGAACGCAAAATACATCATAAATTACTGAATATTATTTATTAGCTATACCCAAAAGCATTTGATACAATTTCATACTTATTACAAGTATACAACGTTTCACATATGCTATCGTTTTAGGTAGAAGTGGTCAGCATTGTCGACAGAATTGGTATTACTGGAAATTACCTCCAAACGAATCAACGGCAACTACAAAAGCAGTTGTTTGGCTTTTGTATTCTCTTCACCAAATATTTGTATGGGGACTCATTTACAGATCTCAATTGACAGTAAATAGAAATAAAGTTGAAGGAAAACAACAGAAATACAGGTATTTTACAAACACAAACTGTGAATTGATAGTTTCGTTAAATATCGTAACTTCGGCAAGAAAACAGGAACAAAATTTGAAATAGATCCGAAATTTCTATGACACCCCAACTACGTTGCAATATTTAACTCATCATTACACAATGCTTTTATGATAAGTTCTTACATTGATATTTTAATTTGACACCACATACACTTCATGTACACAAGGGCCATTCTTGGGCCCTCGGGCAACTTAATCTCAAGTTAGATTTTAGCAATAGTTTCAAATGTTTCGGATTCATTCAGATGTTAATACTATTTTAGATGTATTTTTTGCGAGTAAATTTTTTGATAGAAATCAGTGTATGTATTCATATTTAGGTAAATTAGTAAGTAAACTATTTGTATAGTTATTTATATTGATCTCGGAACATTGTCACTTATTATTTATTCATACTTTACAGTTCCAATCTACGATGGTTTAACTGGTCCATGTTGGCAGTGAATGCATTATTTCATATTCTACATTTAATACAAACTCACACAACATATGATGGATTAGCACAGCAGGTGGCTATGTCGACATCACAGGTGGGACAATTGAAAAATAATAATGACTATGCGGGATGACATCATAATAAATTAATAAAATTTTATAGAGCCAAGATAAACAAACAAAGCTAGATACCAAATCGTCTAATTAATTTAAGCAAATTTTAGTTTTACTGACTGGTTACATAAAAACAATTTTCTTAATTTTATCTTGTACGAGGTGTCTAAATTTGTAGCACAAGCGAAAATAAAAAATTGTAACAACAAAAAAATAAAATAACGGCTCCTTATATGTTGTTCTCTCTTTCATAGGAGGACGATAATTGATTCATATAGTTCAATAGATGCTGTTGATTAATCTACGTCTCCAAAAAGTAGATTTTGATCAAACCAAAATACAATCCAACTTCCTTTCTTAACTAAAAATTTTGAAACTATTTTATCGCCTTGGAATCTTTGTGCTTACGTAAAATTGCATTTTCATTGTGTAGACAGAATAAAGGCTATTGATGTTACATTCATGATAAATATCCACACAGATTTGACCTTGCAGAAACGTTCCGAAAAACGTTTAGAAAATGGAATAAACTTTAACAAATACTGTGTTTGTGAAGGAAAAAGCATTGATTGTCGGAACAAATAATTGAAACGATTTTGATTGTAAATATCTCATTATCCTTTTTATTATAGTCATCCGTAATTATGATGATGGTGTTTGTTCTTCTAATGGAATACAAAGATAGAGGAATCATATTGATGTGGCCAAATCCAACGTCCGATGATTTTGCAGCAAACAAACTGAGGCTTCATGCTGGACCAACAACATTAATTCGCAAGTAGACAGAAGCAGTTTATATTAAAAAAACATGTAACAACTGCCTGTATATTCGATACAACTCCAGATCGGTAATTTATGAAATTCATAGATAATAACTGGAGGTTTTATATATGCTAAATTGTGGACGCCGAGTTTCTGTCACACTCCACAAGCGGCTTGTCCGTTGCTCCATTGTACCGGCTACCGCCTTTCACTTTTGGTTGTATTGATCACTGTGACGCTCATTTTTGTCTACCCTATATTCTTTCCTATTCCCGACTGTTTCAGATACCACGGTTATGTTTTTGCTTGGTCATCAATCTATACGTTCTGGTACCATCCAATGGAAAATACATGGGGTCACACATTAGGGTTTTTTCATACTGCTATCGTTCTGCTTCAAGGAAGTCTAGTTTTCACCGAAGTTCACTTAAACAGGTATTTATAAATTCTTTTTACCAGGTCTAAAGCGGTGTATATAAAAATCCATTGAATTGAATTGACTATGTACTCAATTGAATGTCATGACTCTAGTTTATACTTTTCACATTATAAAGTGAATTATTGGCCGTTTTAAAGGGGAAATAAATTGATTATATATGGTTTTGGAAACAATAGTCGGTCATTTCTCATTTGTAAGCATGCGTTGCTCCATGACCGCATGTATATCCATTTAAAAATCATGTAGTTGTTAAACATAAGTCCATGCACTTGAAGAAAATAAAGCTAAGTAGGACGAAATATTCGTCTGAAGAATGGTAAATAAACCAGTCAAGAATTATATTATATGGATTATTACTTCAATTGCTACTCCAGGCCCGGCGTGCATTGATTCACCCAGAGGTTGATCAAGGAAAAAAGGGGGCCAGTTCACTAAACGCCGTCAAAAACTTCTTAGAAATAACATATGCAAAAATGTTTGTGCCATGCCAACTAGAAGTACTTAGTGAACATGTGCCGCAAAAAGTTTTGAGATCTCTGCAAATTTTTTCTAATAGTTTTGCTTTCGGATTATAGATATTGGCGGCTTCTAAACGAAACTTGGGTGCTTATACATTCTGTAGTGGTAGCTGTGCAGACGGGAAATCCAGAACGGGGTTATGGAAATTTATGGCCCGTGTTTGGATTTGGGTTTGGCTTTCTATTAGCATTCACACAGGTTAGATTGTACTCGTCATTTTATATTTGATTTACATCTTAAATATACACCATAAAATGTAATATTTCAGAAGTTGATTTATCTGATTATGCAATAATAACGTTTTGTATTACCTTTATTATTCCGAGTAAATTATGCCGAACGACGATATTAATGGGCACTCATTACCTATAAGTTTTATTCACAAAAAGGATCACTAAATTACTTGATATAGTGTATGTGGTGTAACTAAAAACATTACTTAAAAATATGTTTTCTTTAGATATTCAGTTTGCCATTTTGGAAAAAACTTCCTGCATGGGTTCGAATTGTGCCTCCAATATTGTACCTCGGTATTGTTGCTGCTTTGTGTGGCACTGTGGTTGTGCCCAAAGATCCTACCAAAAGCGGATTCAGTCGTATGTACGAAATGTTGTTTGTCCCAGCTCAGGAGTACATGGAATTTCTTCTTTCTTGGCTTTTCATATTTATTTTTCTTGTCATCGAATCGAAAGTTTCAACGAAACGTGCAGATGCTCCGGAATCCGACAAAAACAAATGTAATAATAAGGAGTTTATTAACCCGTCTCCTACTAAACAAGCTTTGTATTTATCAGGAGTTATATTGGTTTTTGCATTATTCGTTATGGGGTCTTACTTTTATGAACAAGCTCACTACGAGGTTACGCTAACCGTGTCTTCTATAACTTTTACAACTGTTTTTTGCATTGGTGTCTGTATTTTAGTTATGTTTTTTAAGCAACTCATCGGCCCATCCTACTTTCTCTACAACCCTAGAGCCAACAAGATACGTAATCAAAAAGAGAATTCTTTTCCGACAGTGATGAAATCAAACGAAGGATTCGACGAATTCTCTGATTTATGAGTAGGGCTGTCGTAATAAATACCTTTTCTGTCGAAGAATTTATTGTATTACCTTTCTAAGATAGTTGTTCTTGTGTCATAAATTTGTCGGAATTTCAACGGCGTAATTAAGAAATATGTCTATGTGAGTGTCTTACATCGAATCATCTACCAACAGTTTTCACACTATAAATGATATTCGCTGCTCCCAACCAATATCACAAGTTAACATGTAATATGTATATATATATTATCTAAGCTGACCTCATATTAATAACATGTAAAAGTAGTTGAATTTTTTTTTACACGGCTTGTTATTTTTATATTCTAATTTGTGATTTTGTTACTGTTTTTTTTAATCGAAGAAGAGCAAATTCACTTCACCTCATGTGTGATATCTCGGCTCTGATTGAGTATATCAGTAAGAATTCCATTTTCTAATCTAAGGAATTAATACAGGTTTCGCAATAAAATCAACACTGACGATGAAATCCATAAATACGCAACCCTGAATAAAAATTACCAATTGTAATTTAGAACACTATTCCAAAGTAGTGAAATATATTTACAAACACAATTGAGTTTTCTGGGTAAGACTCATATTTTTACTGTATGCTTATCAATATTGGTAATTCTACTAGTAATTTTTTGTTTCTCGAATTAAATATTTTTTATAAAGCTCAAGCCTTTCTTACTGCACAATCAACATGATGTTGACCTCTGACTGCATCTTCGATAATATTCCACCAAAGAAAACAACGTTATGAAACGGGATTTTTAGTCATCAAATTCATGTGCAATTATGCCTCAAGCAATACAAAACACCATTATAATAGTGATTTTAGGATATAATTCCTAACCACGAATTCCGTGTCATCTTTTTTTGGATATATACTCTGGATACATTGCCTCGACCTTTAACTCCAATTTGTGCTAGATTGATTCGTTGGATTTTATCTGTGTTCACAATTTTTTTTGCGCGGTCTTTTTTCATGTATCAATAATTGGAGCTGAAAGTATAATATAAACCTATTAAATTAAATTGGCCTAATAACTTAATATTGAGAAAATACTTCCCAATATTAAAGTGTAAAATGTGCACTCACTGATACTAATAAGCTAACAAGCTTTCGATTCTAAAAATTATTTTACGGAGAAAATATTCAGATTATTAAATGCCAACTCCATTGTTAGCAGCATGAGTTTGAAGAATATTTCCATGGTATAAATATATAACTTTAACATTACTGTATTAACAACAAAAACGTATAGTTCGTTATTCAAACAACCTGTAAAAAAATGTCATTTTTCACGTTAGCCAAGATTGAATAGGCAATCAACCTAACAGTTGCGTATGTGGAAACCATATTTAACGAATCATACAATATATAGCTGTGATACTATTTGATAATTATTATTAATAGGTAATAAATTCATTTAAATTAATTAAAATTCTGACAGGTTCTAGCTAGGTTTAGATGAATTGCTTCCCAACCGCTATTTCAAATGAATTAGTTTTAGTGCAGTTATATATTGTTATTTAGAGTAAGACTTGAAATTTGATTCGGGTAATTAAATATAACTATTAAATATAATCGGCATTACATTATATCAGCAAATCGTGCACTAAAAAGTTTCGAAGCACGTGTAAGTCTATAATAAAATGAAATTTGTTCCACATTCTTTCTCTTCTTAGTTGTTGTACTTCAAGTAGCGTAGTTTGAGCAAAAAGTTTAGTTCAAAAGCTTAAGATGACAACCGCCATCTGCTTTGCAAAGATTAACAAATCTCATACCACATTACGAATTCTACACTTTCATATTTCAATCCTATATGTATATATATAAATATTGCGCGCACAACAAATTCCGATAGGGTTGGTACCGTGCAATACATATACTGCCAAGAATATGCAGATATAACCAACTCAATATAAAAATATAACCATAAAGGTGATGTACAAATACTGCCAAGTCATAGGCATATATAGCCAACTCAATATACACATACAGCCATTAAGGTGATTTACAAATACTGCCAGATCACAATTTGTGTTTATCCGGTTGCATCTACGAATCATATGCACATTACGGGTCGTTCATATAATTAGCGCATTAAAAAATGTTGAAAACTCCAAAGCGGCTAGTGATCGATACGGTATTGGCATATACCAGTAAGGATTTACCTGTGCACGAAATGGCATAAAAATACCAGTGTTGATACTACATGATAACTATACAATAGGTACCAATCTATAATATTATATTACCAAACTAAAATCCAATTAAAACAAAAATAAATACTATTCACAGGTTATTCAATAACAACTTCGAGACTTAAACCGATAGATTTACAAATATTTTTTTAAATAACAAAGAGTCAGTTATTGATTAACCATCGGAAATATCCCGTTTACTTTCTTCTACACCAGTAGACGACAGCAAGGATTAAAAATCCCATCGCGATGAAAAACCACTGGGCGATAATCCTGCAAAAAGTAGAACAAATTGAAAATAATAAAAGTTAGATGAAATAAAAAGGTTATTCAGTAAAATGATTGATTCTATATTTCTTTACTTTGATGTTAGTTCCCGTAATTTTTTGACCTTTCTAGCTTTCTGAAAAACATTATCTACAAGTTAGACACTGTTGTAGTTCTATAGAAACACGCAGTTCGTTGAGGCATTAATATTTGCTAAAAATTGCGTCATAATTAATTTTTTGAAAACTTCACTTACGTGAAGCAAAATGAAATTACTGTTTCCACTCTGTTGAGCACGGTTGATTGTATGCTGCACTAGGTGCTCTATTGTTATAAATCTTAGACAATCATAACGAAATTAATTGCGTTTCAATTTTTTTTTACTCAAATTAAAATCACCAGCTGGGTAACATTATTTTATATATTAAATTATATATTAAATGTCCCGGTCTTGCAGTATGACAGTCAAAAATAATTTTTTTATTTAATACTATTACAAAAAATTTTTTTTTTAACACTGACGGGGTCTCACTTCACTAGGTCACCAGAGAAAAACTGTTATGTCATAGTTATGATACGAAGTATGGGCTATGCGTTAATTTAACACCCAACTGTACTGTCGCTGAATCACCGAAATGCCGGAAACAAAGTGCAAGTTTTCTAATGATTTGGACGATTTCCTTTATTTGAAGTAAAGACCAATAGAGTGTATTTTAATATCATTTACAGCTAATTTTGATGCCTGTAATCTACCCACAATGGTATGGAAAAAGCTTAAACTTTTACTAAGCCCCTAGAATTGAATCAAGGTTGGCTTGTTCAATCCGCGTCGTACCGGGTTTTCGCTGCAGAAATATGGTAAGCCTATTTATGTTGTGAATGCGGAAAAGAAATTGTTTTTTAAGATCTGAAATATTTCAGTTGAACCTTAATTTCAAAATTACTGAATCTCGAAATTTGAAGTCCCACAGTTGATATTGATGCTGACTTGTTGCTAAATTTTTAACGGCCTATTTCGTTGAATTAATTTAAATGACTCATTGTTACCAGGGTGTTCAAATGTACCGCAACGCAGTGGGACTGAACAGAGATTTTCAACCAGCACATTTCTCGTGTTATGATCGATCAGCTGTTGTGGGGTATTATGCCATCGTAGATTGGTACCTCTTGTTTAGTTCAAGAACTACGCACATCGGCAGTTTTATGTCTTATCGTACGCAATCAACGTGTAAAGCCCTACCTACCCCTGAATTATAGTACCGTTTTGATCACTAGCCGCTTTGAAGTTTTTCACGCGTTTAACGCACTAATTATATGACCTACCAGATGTTGTCGGGTATTATGGTATTGGATTGCGACTTTCCATACATCTGTCCATCTGCTTGGATCTGCGGATTTTTATGTAAAGTAACATGCTTATAACTCATAGATGCAACCGCATATACATACATTGTATTGATATGGCAGTACATGCACATCACCCAAATAGCTGTATTTGTATCTTAAGTCGGCTATATATGCATATAACTTTGACAGTATATGCATATTTGGTTGGCTGTTCATGTATATGAGTTGGCGGTATATCCATATTCTTGGCAGTATATGTATGGCACGTTACCAACCCCATCGGCTTGTTATGAGTATATCTGAATGAATTTCGTTTTCTAATCTAGAGGAATTGACAAAGGGTTCGCAATAAAATCAACTTCTACTACCAAATCAGTAAATACGTAACCCTGACCTAAAAAATAAAATTACCAATTGTGATTTAGAACTCTATTCATAAGTAGTGAAATATGATTAGAACCATAAATGTTGATGAACGACATCCCTATAGTAAAGTGTGCTAAGCTAAGAAGCTAATAAGCGTTCGACTTTGAAAATTACGCTATGCACAAAATAAAATAATCAGATGATTTATTGTTCTAAATTTTACTAATCTTCATACTTAAAGTAAATTTCATGCAGAATGTTAATTTAATAAAGTAAAAATTCGTCATCATCTGTCCACGATTCGTCACCAAATATAGTTCCTGACTTGCATCCGAGTCTTCGACAAAGTTTACATAAATCTGCAAAAAAAAGTAATAAACTTTATAAATGTTCAGAATAAAGGGGAGTGTCACATTGCAATTCCTGGACATTACTTACATAACTCGATGGTTAGGAGGCCTTACTCATCATTTTTATAAAAAAGTCAAAAAGATTACATCGATCTTAACCTTACGTCAACTCAGAAGCCCATATGAGATGAGATCAGTGTTGCTGGTAAACTACTGTTAATATCGCTCTTAGCTATTTATTGCCATTGGAAAAGCACTTTCAATCTTTGAATTCAAAATTCATGTTGCGATTATATATAAAAATATTGAAGTATATATTTTTTAGACGAAACTAGGTGGAATCTTGGAAATGCCTTTTCATGATAAAGTGTTTTCTGTTTGATAAATAAACCCGTAAACTTGAGGCTTTACTTGATCTTTTTTTTGTTCATTCGATGCACTGAGTATCTATCTCATTTTTAAATTTTGTTGTATTGACATTTTTTACCTTTATTGTCTTTGAACATGCATCTTCCTAAGTATCTGCGGATGTAATGATTCCATTCACAGTATTTAGTGCAATTCAGAACTATTTTTACTTGCTTTCTGAACTTTTTTGCAATCGATGTTTTGTTATGTTTCTTCTGTATTAAAGCTGCAAATAAAATAAAAGATGTAAGTCGATTTCCAATATGGGGCCAAAATTTATGGAAGCTATTGAATGGATACAATTCTATAATATTTCGCGCTATGACTCCTCGTCACTATCGGGTGCCGAAGAAAGCTACGTTCAACTTGACATGGGTTTGATTGATGAAACATAAGACCGCACTCCTTTCACGTCATAATCCAATATTTCAATGGTCATAACTGATACGACAGCAAAAGAACTTGTTGAGTAATAATAGTCTTCATTGCCCAATCGGCCATTTGTCCGTAGTTAAAGAAGTGAGTCGTATGTAATTTCTTTCAATTTAATTTTATCATTCGAGGTTTTTTTGAAAGGAAATATATATTTATAAAGAATCACTCTAACAAACATAATAATAATTTCTAAAAGAAAATAAATCTACACAAGCAATGATAGGCGCGGAATAAAATTTTAATATCTTCGTCTAATACCGCAATGCAAACACCAACGCAATGCAAACACCAATGCACCAAAATTCCACTCACTTGCACTGGTATGCTCCAGTGTAAATGCCAACACTGTTGTTAGCAGCAATAATTTGAAAAATATCCCCATGGTATAAATATATAATTTCAAGATTACTGCAATAAAACATAAAAACGTATAGTTAGTTATGCAAAGAACATTCACAAATCACAGGCTTTCTTCAGAAATCCAAGTATTTTGTTTTCACGTTCCCCAAGCCTAAATAGGCAATCAACTTAACCATATCTAACCTGTGGCTACAACGGTATTGAAACAGTAGCATTTTAAAGTCATAATAATATGAAACTTGTTTTCAAGTTTTTCCACTTATTATGTGCGTTGTGCTCCATATTGATTAGGGTAGTTTGAGCAAAAAATCCATGCTTGAAACGCTAAAATAGTTAGATCAAATGCTCAAACCAATTTACAACAACAAATTAAGTACCACACCACGACTTCTACTTATGACAGTTTCATATTCCAATCATATACGTATATATATATAAATATTGCGCGCACAACAGATGTTGCTTATTCTGACATTCGGGTTATTTTAAAGTACAGCATTATTTCAAAATGAATTACGAAATCAAGTGCAAATGAGTGTATTCAAATATAACTGATTATGTAAAGCCTAATTTCATGCGAGGTTGACTACTATCCAGTTGCTTTAATGACTCAAACTTCACAAAGCAATACTTGCTGAGTATAATATGTTTGGAGTTTATGTAAACTGTGCCTATATTTCGCGAAGGTCTTTAACACCGTATGTTCTTTCATATCCTTCCATATCGAGGTGAGAAGTCAACAATACTTTTGTTATTAATAAAATTAGTCACTAAAAATAAATGCTACTGTTGAAGATATCGTTTATAAGAAACCCCAATATTTATTAAAACATATGCCGAGAAGGACTCACAAGTGCGTCAGAACGTTACATTCCATGACGCTTGAAACAGACACGTCAGTAAGTCACGTAGCCTATAATGTATCTTGTTACACAATCCATAGGTTTGTAAAAACTTAAATAGTTTTTTCCACTATAAATAATTTGCTGTATCCATTTGACATTTGTTTGGCCTGATATTCAAATTGTAATTTGCTTCATCAGAGTGATCAGCTGAATGGAAATCCAAACCCTAGGATAAGGATAGTTTTATACCAATATGACTCCAACAACTCAGATCAATTACCACGTGTAGCGTTGCTTTCGATTTGTTTTTAGTATACCATTTAACAGCATAAATAGGGTTTGTTTTTTGGACATAACAGAGATATTATCTCATTTATATAATTATAAATAGAGTCTCTTCTATCATGTATAGGTGTGAACAAAAAGACAAATGTTTGATAGCATACTAATAACTAGTACAATAATAATGTTGGCCTTTAATGTTGCATATAAAAAATTCGCTTTTCTTCTGCACTTTATAGAATACTTCTGGACGAATCGTTTTCAAATTTTTAATAGTTAAATGGAAAGCGCCCCTAGAAGGCTATTCCTTTTTTTTCTTTTTCAAACTTGGTCTGTACTTTGTAGGGGCTCACAACAACTTTCCTTGCGACAGTTCATCGTTAACGAATTCAGGATTCATATATTACACATTGTATCGCACTTTCCCGAGTTAAAATGTTTCACTGCTGTACAAGCTAGAGTTTAGATATTTTTGTCACGGTATTTTTTTTTTGGACAGGTACCAAGTTTCCCGTTATATTGATGAATCAAAGCTATTATCACAATTTATATGTAACTCAATTCTTAGCAATCGTTGCAAACATTCTCCACAGCAACATTTGTGTCCACATGCTTCAAAAACTTTGTAGGCTGTCTATCTATAAGTAAATGACGCATTTATCAGATGTATTAGCGGTATCTGGAATGAATAATATATTTCACTAAAAATTAGTCTGGATATAAGTTGTCGATTATGTAGACTAGAATCCTTCTTATAAAGAAAAATTTATTTTAATAATCCTTGGAAATCTTCCATCCATTCAATAGCTATAAGGGGAAAAGAGATAAAACAAACGGGATGCTGGACAGCATTTTGTCCCCAGTAGCTAAGCATGTAGAATGTAGATGTTGCATATACAATAGATAAACATTCAATGCTTTTTGGTGTGTTTTCTGTGTTTCACACATAAGTAAAAGTTTATGGTGTTTTACCCGTTTAGTATCATTGTTCAACATATTTCTTTGAACTGCTTATCAGTTCTCAGTACCAGTACTATTATTGCAAAAATTTAAATGGGTCTCAGTCGATATAAATAAAGTAGTTTGTGTATATATATTTCATGACAGAAGAAGCGATCACAATAAAAATGACGTATAAAAGCTATTCGATCTCATGAAATGATCCTAAGTAATACTGTGACAGTATTTTTCCGCGTGTTCATGATTCTTTGTTTTCCTGTATTTGTAATTTGTTATTGCTGTGTTAAGTAATGATTTTCTATTGCCTCATTGTTGTGTTGCGTAATTATTAACACCGAATGTGAGAATGAGAAGGCATTGTCTTCCACGTTCGGGGCGGTGACACATAGTCGAGTTTGGTGTTTCGTGTGTTGAGTTTGTGTTGTATTCACTTAAAGTTGCAATATTGCTGTTTTTAAAATAAGAATAAAGCCGCAGTCGAGCCTCGGATCTTCTGTTTTTATCGCAGTCAGATGTTTTAAAGAGTATAGCAAGAAAAGCTGTTTTTTTTTTTTTTTTTTTTTTTTTCATTATTATAATTAATGCTAATGAATAAATATTGTACTAATGATTAATGTTGAAAATACATACTGGATATACCAATGGACTATTATGGAACAACTACTCTGCTGATGATGTATTTGTTTTGTCACTTGTATACAATTATTTATTGATATTCCTATATTATTTTATTTATTCTTTAATTATTGATTAATCCACATTGTGGAAACATTAAAAAAAAAAAAAAAAAAAAAAGAAAAGCTGCGACAAAAATGGCGAGCACGCCAGGATCAATAATTTGTTCGAATTATTGATATAACGAAACGAAAATGAACTTTTTATTGGCACCTTCACGAGGGGGTAATTTTGACAAATTTATCAGAAGATTTCAGTATTCGATGCAATAAGACAAAAGCAAATTCTTTATTGGCAATTTGTAATTTAACTTCTGGACAGTGTCTCATCATGGCGTCCACCTGTTTTACTGCAGGAGACCTCTATATTCCGAAAGAGGAACGTGTGAATGATTTGATAAATCATATTATCAGCGAGGTTGGTGAATATGTTCATATTAATGGTCGTATGGGACGTTGTGGAAATTCGGAAATGTATCAAATTGGTCCGGTCGTTCGTGAAGGTTCTCGTGCATGCACAGCAGGAAGTTCCTGACTGCATACGGGTAATGGCATTCTACATGATATTAATGGTCGTATGGGACGTTGTGGAAATTCGGAAACGTATCAAATTGGTCCGGTCGTTCGTAAAGGTTCTCGTGCATGCACAGCAGGAAGTTCCTGACTGCATGGGTAATGGCATGCTACATGATATTAATGGTCGTATGGATACCTCGTAGTATTGCTTTGTCAAAGGTAGCAAATTTATGGTTCGGTCCGCGCATGCACAGCAAGTAGTTCCTGACTGCATGGTCCGTAGCATAATATGATGAAGGTGCTATGGATACCAGTTTTGATCCAAATGATGGGAAGTTTGGTACTCGGGACAAAAGAAGAACGAGCGGTGTTGAATATAGTCGTGCCAATGGAGACACTCTACTAGATCACGTCGAAAGCAGAGTAGCTTCTACGTCAAACCTCAATAGAGAGGGCGGTGGCTTCGATGATGATGACAATTGGGAGTAAAACCTGCATCTATTGATATGCATATTCCGATGTAAATAGATTTTTGAGCGATGTCGAAATTCAGACATATCATGAGCATATTTATGTTATCATGAACAGTTTTATGATATTTTAATGGGGGCATGTTTCAGCCCTTTGACTACGTTATGGTCGCTTCATGAATAAGTGTATAATTTGAGTTGTGTTAAGGTGTTTTAACCAACTTTTCGTGACCTAAAATGACTGCGATTTTGATTCAACTGGTTTTAAAAGACTTTTTGCTCGTAAGTGTTCAGATTTCGAATTCATAAGTAGTCTTATATATGTGTACAGCCCTAGTTTATTGCTTCGTTTTGAGGAGGATTTTTGTGTTTGGGTCACTCTTGTCTGTACCTCCGTTTGTACATTTTTATGTGTTTATCAAGCATGGTAGGGAGGGCATATGTGTATAGCACTAGTTTTTTATTTTGTTTGTAGTCCGATCTCTGATATAGTGAGACTTTAGAATTTGATTTTCAGTATTAGTTTTGATATTTGCGTGTTCGACATGACCACGCAAGATCATGACATTTTAAGGGGGGGGGGGGGACTGTGTGACAGTATTTTTCCGCGTGTTCATGATTCTTTGTTTTCCTGTATTTGTAATTTGTTATTGCTGTGTTAAGTAATGATTTTCTATTGCCTCGTTGTTGTGTTGCGTAATTATTAACACCGAATGTGAGAATGAGAAGGCATTGTCTTCCACGTTCGGGGCGGTGACACACAGTCGAGTTTGGTGTTTCTTGTGTTGAGTTTGTGTTGTATTCACCCAAAGTTGAAATATTGCTGTTTTTAAAATAAGAATAAAGCCGCAGTCGAGCCTCGGATCTTCTGTTTTTATCGCAGTCAGATGTTTAAAGAGTATAGCAAGAAAAGCTGCGACAATACAATACAAGTGGTTCGTTTAGGACTATCACAAATTTATTTTATATCAATCCGTCCGACGTAAGTAAGTATGACATATTTTAAATATGTCAAGAAAAGCGTCCTAATTAATAGCAATTGTGAAATGATGTTTTTGATTATTTCATGATTTGACTTCTGCTAATTTAGTTTACTGTCTCATCAACTACACACGCAGGAATTCATTACAGACTTTTTCTGGTATATCCAAAGTGCATAACAAATGCTAAAGTTTTTTGATAAAACATAAGGAAGTCTAAACATTAAGTACTGCCATACTCTGCATTCTGTAACGAACTGAGTTCTGATTGAATGAAATATACTTGCATAATGTTCCCAATCAGTCTCGGTTCTGAATATTGTACCCTTTTTACTAAAGTAGACGACGGTGATACATTCGACGGCCACAATACCACGAACGTGTATGCAAAACTGAATTCTATTCCAGATTCTTTCGAAACATTCATTTATTTCTTCATAACATGATATGTTTTATTTTGTACATTCAGTATACTTTCTAATTTGTTTCGTAGATCGTCATATTTTAGCAAAATTCGTAAAATTTGATTGCGCGCAATTTTGTGAACCACTTTGTTATATTCCTGAATCTTCAAAACGTTTTCGTTCTCCTTGTTTATAAGGTATTGAATCTCAAATATATTTCGAAACAATATCGAATAGTTTGTAGTTCTGTAGCGGATTCGTTAACATTTGATTCGTTCAATTCAACAAAGATTGTTTCGTTTTCATAGTTAAACAGTTAGTTTTGACCACCAAATAGCACAGTCTTGTCGACGATAAAAGATTCTATAACATTGGTGATCTCTTCGGAACCAAACTTTGCCAGTTGACTCACGACAGTAGAATTTTTACAAATTAAATTATGCAATCAACTTATACATTTGACTTGCATATTCACTCTCGCTCACCAACTTAAATCTTGATATAACCAATTCCACTGTCTTATATATATATCCCTATTGCGACAACCAAAAACATGGCTCAAGTCAGTTGTCAGGTTGTAGTAGTAGTTATACTACCCATTTTGTCAAATGTTTTCTGTCATTTCTGAGTTTGGTTAGAATATATTTTTTTGAATTTGAGTGCACAGGGCCTTGATGACATTTGAAAGAAATCCATTTTCTTAGACGATATCCGGACGTCGAATATGACATTCCAAAGTCCTGGTCGGTCTCAAACCGAATTTGGAAACTTATATGACTATACGATTTGAAAATATGCTTGGTTAGGGAAGCCATAGATAGATAGGATCAATAGCTCGATTATCCTAAGGCTGTAAGCATTTTATCTGCCAGGCTGCGACTGTTAGTTTTCGAAGCTATTCAACCAAGTGACATCAGCGGTCGAAGCACAACAATCAAATGTTTTTTGGTATTAATTGGATATTAAATTCCAACATTATTTTCTCTTCATTTAATTTATCACGCCTATCATTGCACGTTGACACAATTTTTTATAGATTAATTTTTATTTCTATAAATTTCATTCATTTAAAATAGTTACACGATCCGGCATATATAGTTTGATTGATTGTACGCACATGCGATTAAATTTTACACCAAACTACAGGCTGATAGCGACTTACCTACTCCATGGTATGCGAACTTTTTTGCGTAAAATACATACCGGATAATATCCACAATAGTTTGTTTGTACAAAGCAAATCATATAACACCAAGTAAAAAAGAAATGCGACACATCACCGAATTTGCAGTCTGCCTTTTGTTTTCAGCCTTATTAGTGACTAAATATTTCGTTGTTATAGTTAATTTCGTTAACAAACTTGACAAACGCATATCCTTCTGAACCCACTTTAACGGAAAATAAGATGTAGTCATAAAGAAAATCTTATGCTTATTTTTCGTCGAATTTCTACTGGTTACACCGCACCACATTCTCTGTGATCAAATCAAATTTCTTTCCACTGATTAACAGTGGAACTCGAAATCTGTGTGCATTTTGATCATCTAAAGTTTTTTACCATCCACGTCTTTTTGTTCATATTTCGCGGCACCATAAGCATTGCAAGTTCACATACTCGCGGTTTGCCGGCTATATGGTCAAATCCAGCGTTTCTTAATCAGGCATGAAATCCCCACTGGGGGGATTTTATTTGGGTGGGGGGAGGGGGGGGGAGTGAATTTACCTTTCTTTACAGTAGCCACATTCAATACCACATTCTTTTATTTTTCAAACTAAATCTTAGGGTTTTAAATCTGAATGAACATTTTTATTCGAATATGCGTCTCCCTGATCGTGTCTTGAAATGCCTGATTCTTATTATAATTAGATGCGCATGTAACCGCGTCTATCATGCAACGATTTCCATGCCTTTTAAAGCTAACCCCAATTTCATACTAACACAGAAAGTAAACCAAAGACTCTTTTATGTTTCAATTGTATTCAACGACTTTCGAACAAATACAGAAATGTACTTGGATCAGTATCCTTGAGCACACAAACATTGTGGCACCTGAAAAAATTAATGATATATATACATAATTTATAATGTATTAATCTAACATTTATTATCATTTTGCATTCAATTTTTTTCTTATCTACAATCTATTTCCCCCTATTTTATTGTTTATACGTTTTAATTAGAGATGAATAAGTTACTTACAAGTTGAAAAGCTACAGTTATATTATTAGTATTAATTTCCCCAGTGAAAATAGAGGAAAGTTGAACAAATTCAATTAAATGTACATGTTATTAGTGGGATGGTAAACAAAAATAAGGATACAGATAAGTTGACATTTACATTGTGTGGATACCCGTTGTATTCTTGAACCACACTGCTATCTTTGCAAGTGCATTTATCTCCACATATCTGAGAACCTGAATTGATACTTGAAAATAAAACAAAGGTGAAAATTTATGTAAATTCATCAGTAAGGTTCATTTTGCGATTATTGAAGACACTCAATTTTTAAAACTAGTTAATCTGAGACTACAAGTCCAATCTCTGGATATAATTGATACCTATGGAATTATCGCAATTAAAATTTTGATTTGAATTAATTAGATTTGTTCGACATACTCCTCATTCGAGGAACTTCAAATAACTATATTTTTTCTTAGAAATAATTGAAATATTCTAGAATCATGGCACCATCTACTCAAATTAAATGTCCACAGAACTAAAACGTTTTGTTTTCAGCACATTCTCAATTTACTATTTTTAATAAAATTTACGTTCAAGTCTAATGGATTCAACCATCTTTAGGTACCAATTATTCGAATTCGATTAGTTTATAGCTAATTATGTTTTCAAAGCCGAGAACAACATGAATTTAACAAAATGATCTAGTGGGGTATTTCTTCCCAATGAGCAATAAAATAACTCAATGAATTAATCCGATATTGAGGTGGGAGTATGGAAATATACTTTTTACTCGCATTCCGCATAAAATTGACAATTTTTTCATGAATAATTACGAGAGTTAAACTTCGGATAATTATGCTTACGAGCAACAAGAAGCTTTAATCTTTATTCCCTTGCCATTCGGATCCGTTCTAATCACGTAACAAGTCTCCTTTTTGCATTCTTTGCTACTCTCTTTACACGGACTGTAAGACAATCTAAAAAAAATTTGAAACTATAATTGTAAAAATTCGAAATATTTAACCATTTTTTAGAAATATGCAATGGAAATTAGTGATGATATGGATGAAAAATATTTTTCACTAAATTGAAATAAATTAACAAACAAACAAACCAAAAATAGTTTTGACAGTAAATACATGAGAATACACAAACAATTTGCGATTACAACTTGTGCATATTTGTATTTGCTTCTCTAGCAATTAACTGAAATTTTTAATAAAATAATTTTCCAAAATCATTGTATATATGGAATATACCAAGATAAATGTTCCGTCCCTTCATTATATGTATTTATATGTGACCGAATAATCAGTTTTTTCCGCGAGTTGGAGCTTACAAAACTAATTGGCATGTTCAAAACCATCAATAATCGTATGCACTTCAATTATTCCTCTCAAATTGTATGCAGCGCGTTCGCTGACGAACTACGTTTTCATTACGATTACAACAGCCGTAATACTGGATGATTCCATTGTAAAGTGGATTAAGGCGATCGTGTCTTTAAGACATATTGTGTGTACGACGAATCCTAATCTGTTTAATTGAAGTGTGATGAATCGTAGTTTACAAGTTATTTCTTCCTTAGAATAATCAAGTCGAAAAGAGCCGCATGAAACCGGCACAAGAGCCGCATGCGGCTTGCGAGCCGCTGGTAGGCCACCCACGGGAATAGATGATTAGCGAGGCAACGGTTACATAAAGAAATAAAAAAAAGGTCGATAATCGGGGAACAGAAAAATCAATGAAAAACAGTTCTTTTTAATGGACAATAAACCGTATTTATTTCATCCGAAAAAGCGATGAAATATAAACATTACATAGGAAATGGTTAAAACAGTAACAATCCTGAAATGCCATGAGTATTTCTGCTACATAGATCAATATTGAATTTGTTGTTCAATATTTCTAAATTTGCCAGATGTACAAATAAGTATACAACATAGGAAAGTGATTAAATAAAGATATAGTTACGGGAAAACAATTACGCAAAACATGGGAAAAGTGTGAATGATGCAAGAGTTCAAAGATACTTACGTCGGCTTACATTTGCACTCTTCAATGAATTGACAATACACCGAGCTAGCAAAACCTAAAATGAGTAAAGTCACAAAAAGTCGAATCATTGTATTCGTTTTCTTTCTGTAATAAATTTTACGTATATATACTTTAAAATATTGAAAACTACTACAATATAATCTAGATTCATCTTGCTTTGGTAAACAGAAAGCGGAAACTTAATTTATAAATATTAAATTTGAATAATCAAAATTGAGTTGTCAGTCTCTCGAAAGTTC